CGCGAACAAAGAGTAAAATCGTCTTCTCCATTACCCTACTCGACGGGAATCGGTAATTTAAAAGCCGGATCCTAAAAAAAAGCCGATTTCTAATCAATACATCAAGCCTTTTCATCAGGCCTTTTTTCGAAATTTTTTTTCAGAATGTTTAACAAACGTTAGTATCTCCAAAACGTCGCGTTTCCGTGTGAAATCGCTATCAGCTTTTGATTTTCAGACAGCGACCCGTAATAAAATGTCCGTAAATACATCGTGTCGTTTGACATTTTTAATTTGCATCAAACCATCGACGAGATATTCCACTTTCAAGTTTGGATAGAACGACAGTAGTGGAATATCATTAGCGTGTAGCTGAGTAATGAACTCTACTCTGCCCAGTCTCCCCTAACCAACAAATCGAAAAATTTAAAAGTGGAATATCTCGTCAACGGGTTGACGGATTGTTACGTAAATTTTCAAAAATACAAATTTCGAAAAAATTTAATACTTACCGAGATAATTAGTGTCTTAAGGTGTGCAGATTACTCTGGATACACATACGACATTTAATGTATTATAGCACGCGGTCCGAATATTATTATGTTGCCGCTTATTGCTACCGTTTCGTACTGTTATTGTACCAACCGCGGGCCATCACGATATAAAAAAAATCTTTATATCATAATTTGCAAATAATACACAGTATAGTTTCGTCGAACTCCAAATCATTGCGATAAATCATAATGCTATCTTGGAAAATCTATGAGGGAGGGGAATAATGAATTGCACTTTTAATTATTTTTTTTTTTCAGCAATGTGTTGACCTCTATACTCTATAATATTAAAACAGTAAGCATTATGCCATAATATGTAATTACGGAAAAAACCTAGAATCTAAAAACCGCGGACTTAAACTTTACGCAAGAAGATTAAGCTCAGAAAAGGGAAAGATGTAAATACAATAAAAATACCAAAAGTTAAAAAATAATACACCAACGCGTATCAAAAAACCGTTGAAAACCTTAACTGATTTGAGTATGGGATATGCAGAGTCGATAAGTAAACAACCACCCTCATCTTTGACGATTGTGTTGTCTATACTCCGTCTAAAAAAGGTCATAACTTATTATGACGAACAAGTTGCAAAACGACTATAAGGAAACTATTCACGGTAATCGTTACCAAACGTGACTAGGTTTTTTTTTTTATTGGTCTTTCTCCAAGTCTTCTTTCCTCGGGCTTCTATTGGGACGTTGCTCTGACTTTGCTTATTTGTCGAATCCTATAGTACGTATAGAATAGCTAATCAATGATGTACACTAAATAATGCACTTGTACAAACAGGAGAGAAGTGGTGCGAGTTTTATCCGTGATGGAACCGCGAGTGAACGTGGACATTGACAAGAGAAAAACTTAATTTTCCGTATACTTTTGTTACAAGAACAAAGTGTGAGCCCCCTAATCCGAATGTTCTTGAAAATAGTAAAACGAAAATTGCCGGGTTGTAGAGATGCGAAATCCTACGACGACACCGCGGGTTTCACGCGTTTAGCTATATACTATCGTAACCCCGGCCGTTTGCCAGTATTTACAAAAAATTTGGGTGACGCAAAACGATTCGGGGCGCACGTGCAGTTTGTGACCCGCGTCGTCTCCAAAGTTCAAAGTTCTCTCGAGAACGTAACCTTCGATGCTCGTACCGCACACATTATTGTACATCGTGGAGTATATTGATATTGAGCACTAGTTGGACTGCACTGCAGATGTCGTGACGACTGCGGACAAATAGAATAAAAAAAAAAAAAAAAAAAAACATTACGTATAGGTACCTACACTATTGTCGGACGATGATGACACTTTGGCGATCGAACTACGCGGTTCGGTCGACGACGAGTCTTCGGTCCGTCTAGTTTTTGCGTTCCGCACGTATCATTATTTGTCATTATTATATTGTATAGTAATAATAATAAAAAAAAAAAAAAAACCTCTTTGGTTATATTATTTTATACGAGTGTCGGTCGTGTCGTTCTCACGATCCTTTAATACCATTATATCATGTATAGACGAGAAAACGTGTCCGCCGAGTTAGGTATAAATTATATTGTACGGCGGCGGCGCGTGGCGTAAGTCTGTACTCAACGTTAATGTATTGTAATAGAAAACGGACTCGTCATTTTTAAAAAATTAAAAAAAAAAAAAAAAAAAAAATGATACTCGTCGTTCATTAAACGTCAGCCCGCCCGACGCGAACCGCCCCCGACGACGTTATATAATAATCATTTCAAGGGGAAATCGGGGAGTAATAAAACACAAGAAAACGGGAAATCACGACATGGGTCCGTGCGGACAGAAACAAAACGCCGCCGCCCCGATGATTTCCATCCTTTCCGTCGCGCTCGGCCGAGTGTGACTTTATTTTCATTCTGTTTCTTTTTTTTTTCTTCTAGTTTTTTATTTTTTTACCGAGTCGCGGGAACGTACAAATAAACACGATATACTCAGCTAGGTACGTATGCCAGCGTACGATGACGTTATCGCCGCTGGAATAATTATTATCGGGCGTACCTGCAGCCTACCTGCCTGTAATTTTACCGTCCCGCCCGTACATACGAAAATGATTGTATACAAACAACGTCACGGTAATAACAACAATTCTATTTATTTATTCGTGCGGTGTTTTTTTCTATTTTCTTTTAAATTGGAGGATGCGTGGCCGAAAGCCCACGTAACAAAACCGCGAGCACTGAAAAGAACTGTTTTCTGTTGGCTACCTGCCATATGGCGGAGAGCTGGAGACCCTTTATATGCGAATCAATGACAAATTTAAAAACCGAAAATGAACACTCACACGATGCCCATCTTATCGAAATTTTAAGCACTACTCGCTGAAGTTTAGATAAATCAGATAATTTTTGCAAATAAAAAAAAAAAAGAACGAGGAAAACCTTTTACTACATTGCTCATTTCCAAGGGAATCTGTAAGAAATTTTAAAGAAGTTAGGGGACATTTTGAGGAGGCTAAAGCTTCCTTAGCACCGCACATCCAACGCCTATGAGTGGCTATATATTAAAATAATATTAATAAAATATATGTTAAAAGGAACAAAATCGATCTCCTCTTATTTTTCGATTGGAACAATATTTCTGGTAGAAAACATAGTTTACAAAAATTAAAACTGATGAAATCGGCGCGCCGTAAATATTTGAGTTTTATCCATAATTTTCTTTCGGGGTTTTCTCATTTATTTTAAAAAACCCCTTGGAAAATCAAAAAATCTCCAATAATACGCCAACTAGACAAAATTAGAAAAGGCGCTACACTCTATATACATCGGAACAAGATTTCTTTTCGAAAAATTGTTAACAGATAGAAAAAAAAAAAGAAGAACACGTCATGACACATCATAGTAAAACCAATGGATTCCTGGCCACGCTCCGAATCTAAAAAATAAATACCAGAATCTAAATCGAACATATAATACGTAACCTGTGAAGTAGTGTTTTTAAAGTACCGATTTTTTTCATAAATTATTATTATTATTATTAATCAGTGTTTGTTATTATTGTAGTTATTCAATGATCAATCACGATATTTAACGAATGGTATAAGGAGGTTTGGGGGCGAAAGAAAGGACGCTAATTTTTTAAAATCTTTATAGTCCCTCATTTTTTGTTTGTACGATTAGAGCACTGCCTGTATATATAGTCGTTTCATATAGTCAGATAGGTCTATATAGACGATGGAGGTATCCTGCACAAAAAAAACATATTTTTTAAGGTACGTTTCTCCAAATCCTCCCCTCCTCTACCACTCCTATTCGACAAATGTATTTTTAAATTTTTTTTTTATTTTGCTGTACGTTTGATATCAAGGGTAATACTGTAATAGGCAATGGGTATATCGAAAAACTTGATTTTATATGAATTTATACGCTACATTCATTATATTATTTTTTTAAGAGAAGATATTAGTCTAACCTAATGATTAACGGTCCATTTTTCTTATGGCACACACTGAGAACTGGTACACATCCCTTGCACACATATGATGTTATATTGTTTCATTAATTAAAAATATTTAAATAATGCGTATTACAGAAAACAATTTTTTTATAGATACATTAGATAAATTTAGATAAGTAGATTAGGTGGAGTATAAACTCGAAATTTGATTACTGTCTCGGTCCAACTAACGAGTTACACGAGCTGGGGCCAGTATAAACATTTTTTTTTTTTTTGGCTTGGGGTTTGAACAAAAATATTATACAACATTAAAATAGTAGGTAATAATACCATATTTTGTGTTAAGTTCGTTACAATTTCGAGGAGAGGGGGTGGTGAATACCATCCCGCCCCTGAATACGAGTAGAAAAATGATAATGTTTTCAAAGACGACGGTGCTTGGGGCCGTTTTTCTAAAATATTATTGACAAAAACTAACATGCTGTAATGTTTTCGTTTTGATAATATTTTACGAAAAAGTAACCTTTGAAAATATTCCAGTATTTAATTTTTTTCTACATGTGTTTAAAGAATAATTTCAATCTAAACGGTACAACGTGTATGTTTCAAGTAGATAAAAGTACTAACGTAATAATTCTGGCAACAAAGCAAAATTACATTACCTAGGTACCTAATATCCGTGGGTGTGCATAATTGAATTACAAAAATGTTTGGGTGTAAACATACACGTCGTTTATAAGAGTTTGTAATTATTGTGGAAAGTCGGATGTTTTAATTATTTCAGGAGGTAAAAAATAGATAGATATTATTCAAATCAAATTCCGTATTAAAGCCGCGTTATCAATGAATAGATACCGTGGCGTTATCAAAAAGTACGCTATCAGTGTTATCACGTATCCATGGGGAACAGTTCAAAAACAAAACTCACATAATATATTTTAGCCAATTCAGTTTTTCTCTTTCCGACTGTAAAAATATTAACTACCTAGTACTTCGGTGATTTAGTGATTTCATTGGTATCGTGTATTAATATTGACATTGTACATTGATTTTTGAAAATGGACGATGATGATTTAGAAGTACTTGATTGTGCTGAAACACCAGAACCGCCTGAACAAACATCAAATACCGCAATAGACATGGTAACACACTACCTACGCTATAAATATTCTATTGATAGTTACCTGTTTGTCTGTAACAGTTTTTTTTTTCTGTTAGGGCATGAGTCCTGGTAGTGCAGCAGGTAGTCGTAGACCATCGTTAGACGGAATGTCCAGCACATGCACATCCCAGTCTGAAATACGCTCATTCAAAGACCGGCTAAGAGAACATGTTAATCAAGTCAAGGTAAATTCAGTTATAATTCTTTACCATTAACGTATATAATTACACTGTTATTTTTAAAAATTTTTTTTTTTCTTCAGGAACGAGCATCAAACACAGTAGTTGTCGAACAAAACAAAAATAAAGTTCAACAAAATGTTAAACAGCCTGCGGAACGTCTTGCTCAGTTGGTATGTTAGGCTATTTTTCATTTAAAAACAAATTTGTTGTACAATTTGAATAGATACTCCTTTATAAACTTGTATTTAATTATAATTTAAACATAGTTTGTTTATAATAACTCTGATTTAAACTAGAGTATAAATTAAAGTTATTATTAATTTATTATTGTTGTCTTGTTAGAAAAACATTCTGTTGTGTCTAAAACAATACAGTTTGAGTTAAGTTACAGCTGGACAAATTAGAGCCTACAAACCTGCTTTTATACATTAACTATTTATAATGTGTTATTATTTTTTAGTCATTCGACTTATGTTTTATTTGATCTGACATTGAATAATAACGTCTGTTAACAATTATTTACATTGTTAATTTTCACTGAAGTAAATTAATAACTAAGTAGTTATATACCTTGGAATATCATGTATATTATGTAGTTAAGTGAAATATTAAATTATCATATATCATTTTATGCAACCAACTATTGGGAGGATTGCAAAAAAAACTGTTTTTATTTTTTTTTTAAAGATTTTTTTTTTTTAAGGTTTTAAGTGACGATAATAAATAAAATTATATTTAAATATAAGTTGTTTGAATAACAAAACTTGCAAAACAAAATGTACCCATTATTATAATTAATCTTAGCAAGTAATTAACTGATAAGTATAATTAAATATTTTATATAAAACCACAGATAACAAAAAATATTTAATTTATGTACTTAGAACAAATTATTAAATATTGACACGTTACATAACAAATTATTATGTTAGGTAAGGGCCTATTTCAGGATCGATTATTATAATTGTTTATTACAACATTTTTAAATTTTATGGAAAAGGAGACATAATATGTTTAAACCGATTATGAGAAAAAAAACATTTTAAAATGTTTAAACCACAAGTACTTGTTTTATACATCTATATAAAAATACTTTGTAACCTTGAATCAATTGGGATAAATAAATAACACTCATAGTGCTAATAGCTTATTAAAAATGAGCGGTGTAGATGAGATGATACAAAACAATATTTTTCAAAACAAAATTGAATACAACAATGTGCTAGTCACTGTTATATGTGGGAAGGTAGGATAATAATATGTAATACATATTATGTAGGATATTGGGATAATTTAGTTAATAAACTGTGTGCAAGATTGTGCTTTATTTAAAATTTAAAAAAAAAATGAATTAAATATTTCACTATAAACTGTTATAAATCTATTATCCAATTCAAAATAGTCAATACTCCAATAAATTCTGCGTAATACATACAATTTAATTTGATATGATCATTCGCTATGATATTTTTAACTTAATAAAAACAACATAATAAAAATCAACATGCTAATTTTTTAAAATTATGTTTAATTTTTATTAAATGTGTGTTTAAATTAGTATTGTAATATTTTCCTTTATTTTCAGATGAATTCAGAAAATGATGTTGTTGCAGCTGCTCTAGAAAAACATGAAAAAGATATGCAAAGTAAAAATGTAGTCATAAATGATGTCAATAAGGTACAGTAGACATGTGTTATAAGAACATTTTTAGTCTTGTTATATTAATTAAATGTAGTTGTAATAATTGTTTTACACTTTTTTAGTGTGTGCCCACGTGTAACATCAATATTTGCACTGATTTCATTAATGTACATGGATAGGCAATAATAAAATATTGAGAAACCTTTATACTTTGTAAGTGTTTTAACTAATTTTTATATCAGTTGAAATAAAATTAATTATTTAAATTATTATAATTGCCTTTAACTATTACACTTGAATTCTATTGTTAGTTTTATCCAAGTTAAGTTTCTTTCACGGGCCGTTTCATCCTTATCTATCAACCATAGTTCCTGCAATACAGCACCTGCATTTCCTCACCTGTCTTGGACAGGTGTACTTTACCAAGCATGGGCTTAACTGAATCACATCATGAACATATGCATTCTCGTATTAAGCTTTTGCATCTGCTTTTTTTATTTCTTTTATACAATTTATTAATTAAAATCTTAGATAAATATATATTTTTGTAAATACTCAGGTTTATTTCCCCCATAAACTGTACAAGAAAGTAGGATTATTTTGTAATAGTTTTTGATTTTGTTTCATTTAGTTTGATCATGAAATTGAAAGTTTCAATTTTTTCACTAAAGTGTGGGATCCTCCTACAAGCCAAGGAATTCAAGAGCAGTCAGCTGAATCCAGTGGTATATTCCTAAATATTTTCCATTTTATTTTGTGATCATTTATTAAAATAGTAACACCATTCAAATATTTTTCTATAATAATTATTATGTACATATATTTTTAGTTGAAGAAGTTGGCGTTTCTAATGAAGAAAATAAAAAGCTAGTTACAGAAGATTATTTAGGACTGACAGATGGAGAAGACGTTGACATTGTAGATTATTCTTTGGTACCGTTTTTGGATACATTTATAAAAATTAAGGAAGCGGCAAAACAAATTTATTTTGTTCCAGATGGATCCCAAGGTATATAGATATTATGTATGTTTTACATAATATACATTATGTATTAATTATTATTTATTGATTAATGTTAGTGGACCTTGCTAAACGATTAAATTCAAGACAGCCTCGCTATTTGGAGAAAGAGGGGTTGTATGTTGGTGCATATCCTCCAGTTTATGAAAAATGTCTAAACAAGCTTCAACAGAGACTTCTTAAAGCTAATGAATTGTAAGAAATATTTTAAATATTACAGATTATATAAATGCTTAAAATAATTTTTAATAATAATCATCAGTTCGTGTTTAGACATCATACAGTCCACATGTATGTTGTCTCGATCCACTTTATCAGCTCCCGATAACAAAGTTGTCTTAAGCGCTATTGCGGTATGTAGTACCTAAACTGTACCACCGGGATATAACCTACCTAGGAAAATGTGGGAAACTCTTAACTGTCTGAGAACACAAGTGGGAAGAACTAAAGAAAACCTAAATAGGTGAGAAGTAACTGACAATATAAATTGCGAGTGTGGAGAAAAATAAATATCAAACCATCTTAGTCGAGTATACATCATTACTAAGTAGATATGAAATGAAAGATTTTATTGAACTAACAAAAATCACGGACAAAATGATAGGAATCATTGATTTCTGGGAAAAGAAAAGATTGTAACTTTAAAAAAAAAAAATAAAACTGACCAACACAAGAAGAAGAAGACAGCTAATTAATAATGACTACTAATGCTGTCAAGGTTATCTTTCCATTTAAATTATCAAATAAAATACCATACTAAAAACAAAAAAAGAATAAAGTAATTAATAGTCAACCAAATGAATCTGATGTGGATGATGTTATCAATTTTAATTGGACTGAGGTCATATCTCCTAAAGCCTAAAAATGTTTAAATTTATACAAATTAATCCAGTTATCAAAAGTACACAAAAATACAACAAACATGTAATTTTACACTCCTAATAAATTCACCAGTTTATCAAAAAACAAAGACATGGAAATATAATTAAACGAAACCACTTCAAAATTATCTCCACCATTTTTTATTAAAACAGTTATTATTGTCATTTGAAAAAAAGAACATTGCCCCGGTACTTTCCTCGATATCGTGAAAGCCTTTGGTCGCATCTGGCATGATGGGCTATTGTTTAAATTAAAATCGTTTCTACCTGCCCCATATTTCTTCATTCTAAAATCATTTCTTGAAGACTTTTTTCACGATTAAATACAACAACTCTTACTCTCTTTACCACAAAATCAGAGCAGGAGTTCCACAAGGAGGTGACCTATCACGGATACTTTATAATATCTACACATAAGATTCCTCCAAAACAAACCATACAACTCTAGCAACATATGCTGATGATTCCGCCCATACTGGCATCAAATAAACACCAAAACATAGCTGCTTTCTATATACAATACCATCTGGATCAAAAAATAGAAAATCAAGATAAATGAAAACAAATCTGTTCAAATAAATTCACTCTTGGCAAAAAAGAATGTCCACATATATCACTCAACAACATACCAATCCCTATTCACAATGTGACCAAATACCTAGGGGTTCACCTGGACAAATGATTTACTTGGGCCCAACACACAAAACATAAAAGAAAACAATTAAACACATGCCTACATCTCCTCTATTCATTATTTTCTCCTTCAATAAGCTTTAAAAACAAAATATTAATTTATAATTACTCCCTTTGGTCTTATGGCATCCAAATTTGGGGCCAAATCAAACCATCTAATATAAGACCCATATAAGCCTTCCAGTCTATATGTCTCAGAGAAATAACCGAAGCCTTTTGGTACATGACCAACAATGCGCTAAATAAGGACAACAAATCCCAACAGTAATTGAATTAGTAACCCGACACTACAAAAAATTTCATTCAAAACTCCACTCAATCCAAAACCTTCTAATTTCCTGTATGTTCTCTATCATCATTTCTTACAGCCCTCTAAGAAGATTGAAAAGAAAATGGCCATGAGACGTCCTTACCTAATAATATCTATGTAAATAAAAGGAAAAGAACAAAAATCTGTTTCTTCATTAAAATGGTCGGTTTCCCCTATCAAATCAACTAGTCATCGTGTTCTCATCATTATTACCTTCATATTGTTTATTTCTTAGAAAAAATAATGGTCCTCATTGAACAGGTTCGTGTGGGGGCCCTTGAGTTTATAATTTATAATAATATAATTTCAATTTTTTTTTTACAATTTTAAACTTATTAGATGAAACTAACTAAATATAACATATAATGTAGGTAACAATAATTAATATATGGAGACTTAATGTATAATACAGTATGATAAAATACCAATGCAATCAAATATTGATTATATTTTGTTCATAGTCACTGGTTTGGAGAAGATGGTGATCTGATTAGACTACCTGATCCTTTAGCTGAACCTTCAACCTATAAATTATTAGACTCTTCTGAAAACAGTGGGTATTTGGACATTAAATATACTAGTGTAAGTATAATATTAATATGATTGTTTGCAATTGTGTATTTATTTGGTATTTTATTTTTGTATGACTTGTTATTAGGCAACACCATTTAAAAGTCCTTATAGTTTCAATAGCCTATCACAGGATTCCAAAGAAATAAAATTTCTTTTGGAATTAGAAATTTCAAAAATTCAGTTTAGTCATCATGCTCTTTTTAGTCGACAACATGTTCTCGATAAGCAATTGTTACAATTATATCATAAATATAAATGCCGTCAAAATATTGCTAGAACAAAAATGTTATCTGGTAGATTAGAAGCGTTGCGAAATGCTAAGGATACGTTGGTTAAGGTTATGGCAGAAGAAAATGATAAAGACTTGCTAGAAAACCATGAAAATCGTTTACAGAGGTAAATGGTTATTATTGGTTAATATAAATTTAAAATTTAATTTTATGAAAACATTTTTTGTTTAAGATATAAAACAGAAATAAAAGAAACTCGAGCTCAAAAATTGTTAGAAGGTAAAGCAGATCGCTCTCTAATATCCAATATTTTGGCAACCTGGAGAGATTTGAAAAAATTGAGAGAACGGCAAGAATATGTAATTACAAATACCAAGTTGGAAATAATTGTGGATGACAATGATAATACTGAAGAATGGGAATCTGAGTTTAACAAGTAAATGCCATAAATATTACAACAATATTAATTTTAATTGTGAGACAATTTAGGTTATTAGAAGAAACTCTAGAAGAAATGAGCGAAAAAAATGTTGAAATAAATGTTCCCGATGTTCGAGATCAAGTATTCAGTATTCTTTCAGAATCACTAAGATCACCAGGCGAACCCACTATTGCATTTGTTATGTCTAAAATTGAACCTACCTCTGAAGATTGCATAACTGCTAAAGAGTAATTTAATTATAATTGTATATTGATCATTAAAAATAAAGATTATGTAATATTTCATTTTTAGAGAACTTCAACGAAGGTTAGCACTGTTAAAATATTCCATTTGGTTTGATGTAATATTCAATGGTCATATAGTATGTGAATCAACATCTTTATCAATTGATGATAGTTTCTCAGTTGATGTCAATCAAAAATTTGTAGTTGAAATTCATCAATGGCCTGATACATTGTCATTAAACATACACTGTGAGAACTTGAATTCCAAAAATTTATTCACAAAAAATCCAATAGCAGAACTTTATATACCTTTTCCTATAAGGTAATATAGAAAATTTTATTTAACTTTTTCAATTTTTTAATTTGTTTTTTTAATTTTAGCAACACTACATTGAATATGGTAGACATAGAAAACATGGAGTTTAGTTGTTTTGGTATTCAGAATGTTCAAAATGCCGGTGTTGGAAGTGGCGTAGACTTCAAGATATTTCCTGAGGATACAGAATCTCATTGTTTATACACATCTGGTGAAGTGTTGTGTAAGGCTGGTTGGGGTAAATTTGGTGATCAAATTTTATGTCCGCCGGAAGATTACTTCAACAGACTCCATCCTTTAAAGTACTTGTTTCATAATACTTCCCTATATAAAACTCATATTTATATTGTGGTATAATTTAGTACCAACAATGAATTAGCAACTAAAACAGAAAAATTGTTGCATTGGATGAATGATTTACACCCTGATCCTAATGATCCAAACAATATATCATTTTTTGAAGCTTTAAAGGTACCCTAAGTTTGTTTCTGCAATTAACATATAAACTAATAATTGGCTATAATTAATGTATATTTTTTTTTAGAGTGTTGATGAAAATATTGTTTGTAATAAGAAAGTAAGTTTTAGTGTTAATATTTATAAAAATATGCTAGAATTTTGTTCGGATGAAGAATTGGATGGGAATCCACGGCTTAAATTGTTAAAATTACGAGACCGCGGAGAAATAGAATTTAGAATGGCTAAAGCTGTTCCTTTAAAAGAATGGCTTATACCTAAAGATATTTTTAATGTGAGTATTATATATATATATATATATTAACTTGATAATATTTTCTATGGTAAAAAAAATTATAATTTATAAATTTCCTTATTTTATTTGTTTAGAAAACATTTTAAAACTATATCAAATGAATTATAAGTAACTAGTTCATTTTTGTTAAGGAATTTGAAAATCGTTTATCAACTTCTGAGCTTGCTTTGGAAGTTGCTGGTCTCGGGCCTTTGGAAACCAGTAGAATCTGGGGACGTTATTCAGTCATCAGACTCTATGACAAGATCCTTAAACAGTGTAAACTAGGAAACAGAAATAAAATTACTAGAGATATTGTTGTGGAGGACACTGTACCAGACATAGGGTATGTAAATAAGAATAATTCATTTACATGTAACAATTCTGTTGTTCATAAAACTCAAAATTCATTCAGTTAAACATTTTTATTTTGTTGTTATTGTTTTTAGGACCTTGGGGTTGACATTTATGAAAATGTTTCAACCAAAACGTCCACTACGTCCGAGGAGAAAAGAAAGAAAAAAGATACCAGTTAAAAGTTTGTCGGGACAAGAAATTAAAGTAAATAGTATTACATCATTTTTAATAAAATGCAATATTGTTTTATTTTGTGTTTTTATATTATTCAAGGTTGTTATAAATGTGATGAGAGCTTTTGAGGTACCTGTGAGGAAAAACTTTGATATGATGATTGGTGACATAGCCATGATCCCGGTTCAGCCATTTATTGAAATATCGTTCAAGGACCAAACTAGTAGAACAACCACTGCTGAAGGTTCTAATCCGACTTGGAATCAAGATTTGATGTTAACTGTGATGTAAATTATCAAATATTTTATTTATTTATTTTCAAATACTTATAGACTATGTCTATTGTTTCAAGGTCAAATTCAGTTGATTTTTGCCCTAACCAAGTTCAATCTATTGACGATTGCATACATATAAATATGTACGATGAAATAGTAGTCGATATATTAGAAGATAGTAGAACCCGAGAAACAAATATTCATCAACGTTTAGAGAGATATTGGTTGGGTAGCTGTGTTATACCAATTTCAGCATTATTTAACAATTCTCAAGTCAGTAAATAAATTCAATGTGTATTTATTTTTTGATAAAATTGTTTTCTAAGAATTTATTAAATCTTAAGATGACGCTACATCTGCATTTACTGTTTCCGTATTACAAATATACAAGATAACTAATTTTCATTCAGTAAAATAAATTTTGTGCCATTCATTTTTATCAATAAAGTGAATTGACCTAAACTTAAGGGCAACAAGATTATATTGTGTGCTGGCATTGATGTTTTTTTTGATATTTTAACTTTTAAGCAAGATATGAGTACCAGGTGATTAATTTAAATAGGTACACTCATTATCTCTGAAAGTATTAATATTTTTTGGCATTTGTTTTCTAGAACATTTAAAAAACATGCAGCTCTACAATTTTATTTTACATTTGTGTTATTTTTTTGTCTGCATCATTGTTAGGGGTAAAACCACTAGCTACTTTAGATTTCAAATAGTAAGCTATACAAAATCCATAAATAGATGGAGTATTAGTTTAAATAAATTTCAGTGTTGAAAATTTTGATTTCTGTTAAACCGTTGACGAGATATTCCACTTTAAGTTTGTGTTAAAGGAGTAGTGATTCATTAGTAACACACCTTACGCCGTATCACCATACAAATGATACTCTACTACTCTCCTCCAACCTAAACTTAAAAGTGGAATATCTCGTCAATGGATTGACAGAAATCAAAAATGTCAACACTACAATTTATTTTAACTAATATTCCATATATTTATGAAATTTAATATAGGTTGCCATTTGAAATATTAAAAGTAGGTTTTGGTTTTACCCCAAAAACTAACAAAAACAATTACATAAATACAAGATAGTAGAGCACTTTTTTTCTTAAACGTTTTTTAAAAAAAAATTCCGGAAAAAGTTAATACTTTCCAGGGTAATGAGTGTACTCACTGGCTCACTTGTGCACAGCCATGTACTAATTTCATTTATTTATTTTGATTTTAGTTTAATTTAGGATAAGATGTAAATTTAATTTTTATGTTTGTATTTTTTTTTTTTAAGGGGAATTTTAAATAAGCAGATGATATTTAAAAATTCATCTTTAAAAATAGTTTTGGGGCTTTTTGTCAACATGTTCTACATGATGTTAAAGAACATCAAAAAAAAATGTAAAATCTATTTAGTTTAATCCTTTAGTTTTAAAGGTCTATTAAGTATCATATAAAAAATATTTGTACATACCTTTATCAGATGGTAATAGTCTTAAAAACATAATAAAATTGATTTTTAATTTGCTTGGATGCTTTTAAATATTATGTAAACAAATTGATAACGTATACTAATATTATATTTTAAAAATTTAATTTTAAACACCACACATACATTTAAAATACTAAAAAATAATTACAATGTCTATACAAAATTCCTTAAATATTGGGTGTGTGACATCATTTTTAGTCCTCTTTTTATAATTTAGTTAGTCAGCATTACAAATATTCATATTTTGTTACACAAAAATAAGATTTACTATGTTCATTTCACTAGGTATATGAATATTTATATGAATATAAATATTATAATACATACACTTTTCACATTCAATTTTATTTTATTACCTTTTTTTAAAAACAAATTTTCAGATTGAAGGCATGTTTCAATTAAACACACCTAGACACCTTTTAGGATATGAACGACTTGTGTCAAATAGTGAAAGTTCACATTACAGAAACTCAACTTTTCTGAGCTTATTCATTATGGCACAACCACCACTGCACCCCCCTGAACCAATTAAGGTAAGAGAAATTGTGTAAGAACAAATGATTTATCTTTATTTTAAAACGTAAAATTGTTACTATAATATTATATTGGATCAATAACATTAATACATTTTTTTTTTAGAATCAAAGTTAATTTCTTTAAATTTAAAGATTAATACTGATTAATACAAAGATTAATAAAAGATTAATACAAATTAATACCGTTAAGTATTTGGAAAATATTTTTTTGGATACGTATTATTTTATCATAATTTTGTTTTGTATATTACTTGATTATTACAAACTTTAAATGGAAAAAAATAAACTATCTCTAACAATATTTCCGTTTATATTGCTCATGCATTAATATATAACAAATGAGAATATATTCAAATATATTTTTGAATAATATTTATTATTTTTAAAAAATATGAAAAATAAAAACAATATAGTCAATATAGTTCAAAATCATTTATTATTATTATTTTTCAAAAAATTTAATCAAACAAAACTTGAATTTTTTTGTACAAATGTATATTTTATACATTATAACTGGTTACTTTAACAAAAGCATTGTAATTTTCTATATTAAAAATGTAAAACTACAGATATAAAACTTCTACGGTTTAAATTTTGTACCGTATATGGTTATTAGGAAATTAAAATTTTAAATTTTAAAAAAAAAAAAAACATTAATCAGCGCACAGTGGTCCGAGAATGTAATGTATGTGGCAAAAATAGGTCATTAAAAATATTTAAAAATTTCATTTTTTTTTTTTTTCTAGGATCTCATTAGTAGATGATTATGAGTGTAAATACAACATTTCTGTTTCATTAAATTAATTCATTTTCTAAAATAAATATAAGTATTTAAAACAAAACCAATATTTCATAAAATATCTGTTTAATTTTAAAATTTAAAATTTAAAAAAAATAAAAATAATATATTCTTATAGTTGAGAACTTCCTAAAAAAATGCATATATTGGGTATAGGGTAAACTTGAGTAAATATTTACTGCAGTCTATGAAAAAAAAAAAACATTTGATTTTTTTATGACTCATAACAGTTAATGACTTACATTTAAAAAAAAAAAAAATAATTTTTTTCATTATCTTAATATGTGATTTAACAATTAGGTAATTCATTTTATATATTTAAAATAACCAAAGATATTAACGATCTATCGGCATTTTTATTTTCAAAATAACAGAAAATGATAAAATTTGTCTAGTTTACTTAGCTATAACTCCAGTTTAAAAAAATGTTATGAAACCGAAATTTTGTGTTTACACTGGTAATCATCTACTTATGAATAAAAAATTAATATTTTGTACATTTTTAATGGCCTATGTTTGCCACCTAAATTTCATTCTCAGACTGTGTTATATACATTGTGCAGTGTAATAATACACGAGTATATTATCTCTAACTGGTGTTCAGAACAATTACTCAGCCAAAACAAAAACAAAAAAAAAAAAAAAAAATGTTTTATGTAATTATCGAATATTAATTTTTTTTCTCTGTGTACACATAGTGGTTGAACCTCCTACATCTCAAATTATGTTAATTAAGCAAAATTTAATAATAATTACAAAACTGTTTATAAATGAAATCGTTGATATTTGGCATCAGGTATATATTTTTTGTTAAAAAAAAAAAAAAAAAACATTTCACCGATCAAAGTCAAATAATCATTAATATAATTGATTAAATTATTTTCAAATTCCAAATATAACTGTCCAGATAAAAATATTCGTCTAATTATATAACAACTCAAAATACTTGACAAAATTGAATTGCTTTTATTTAAAAAATAAAACGTACCCTTAATAATTATTCAAAGTGTATACATTCATTTTGTCCGCCTAATACTGGTGTACTTAACCGAAATAAAAAAGTACAAAGAAAATTACGCCATTAAATGATATTAAAGTCGTTCAAGTGATTGTGATGGTTCAATTTAACCGATACAAATAATCGACTGGCTACGTCACTGAATCATTGTAGTGATAGTTTTGAAAAGGTTTTTTTTTTTTCTTTTGTCTGTAATTTCAGGAACGTTTGGATTGTAGCGAATCGTTTAATTTCGAACGGTATTTGGAATATTGGTCCGCAGAGGGGGCGAAACAATTTCCCCACAGGCCCGTCAAAACTCTGGTGATACACTGTAGCGGCAAAACGGTGTGCGTGACGAGATTCTTCAGGCCTTTGCCGCTGCCGAGTACGCGCTAGTAACTCATCACTTTTCCGAACCGTTTAGCGCAACGTAATATTGTGTTTTTTTTTTTTTTTCGTACGCAGCGATTGCCGAGGAAGTGACCAACACCACCGCCGAAATGGTCGCCAGGTTCGTGTCGCTGATACCGGTGGTCAACAGCAACGTGTTGCTGGTCGGCCGTTTCGACGTCTGGTTGACCGGAGACGTGAGTTGTGTGTAATATCATCGGCGCTTCGCGGACTGCGTCGAGAAATCCGGAATTGACGCGTGTTCGGCGACCGGCATTCGTTCCCCGTTTTCCCTACATCCGCGCGTTAACCGGTCTCGGACGGGATTAATAACGGGCGACACAGCGCGATAATTATTAATGGGGTGAGGACATTATTTTTTTCGGCTTTTTTACGCGTCCCTCAAAAAAAAAAAAAATAAATAAATATCGCCGATTGCAAACGCGCAGCAAACGCCGGATTTCTCGCCGCGGTGAGCCGGGCAATAACAGCCGGCGAGTATCGTAACTGATCACTGTGCGGACCGTTTCAGCAACTGTTGGGCCTGCTGTTCGGCGGCGGTTCGGGCGTCGACCATGGCATCCTACTCTGCTGTTACTTCATGAAGCTGAACGTCCGTGCGTGGCTATTGCTGGGCACGGGCGTGTCTCGGGGCGACGCCGCGTACGTGTTGACCTCGCGCAGCCGGGTTCCCGACCGTCCGTCCGCGGCCGTGCAGTACGACGTGTGGGACCCGCTCACCGGGCTCAAGTACTCGACTTGCGACAGTTTTTCGCCCATCCAAGAAGTGTACTGTTTGATAAACGCCGATAACGTAAATACGATCGCGTTCCGTATGCAATATTAATATTATAACAGGGTGCGGATTTAAACGCTCTGAAAGAACAAGACGAACGCCTTAAAAAAAAAAAAAAAAATACAATTCAATACACTTTAATGAAAATAAAATAAAGGGGAAAAAATGCTCTGAAAGCTAATTTAAACGTTGATAAAAAGTGTGTTTTTATTGGGAACATAAATCTACTATATACGCGTTACACTGCAAATACTGCAGTACGACTATACATTACGGCTCGCCGCTAAATACGAGCATATCGTTTTCTTTATTGCAGCAGCCGGCATTGTATCGTATTTATTATCTACTAAAATCGGTAAATCTATAATGTATTTAAAAAATAGAAATACGAATATTTTTTTTCTTTTAGGACGAAAATGAAATAAATTTTATCAAATTTTCTAAAAACACCATGAATTTTGTAAAAATAAAAATAAAATGCATTTAAAATGTCAAAATATGCTCTAAAAACAAGAATGCAAACAAATATCAAATATTTGTTTCATATTTTAATTATTCGATACATGAAACAAATTTTGTAAAGACATTCAGAAAAATATGCATTCCGCACTCTAGTTATAACCTAACATATAAGTTTCGGAAAAATCGTGTTTTATAACAATAATAAAATCCCGCGTTAATTTTCGCGTTTACATATTAAAATTATTAATAATATTAGAATTTAGAAGGGTCAAGTTAAGCAATTAATCGGTTTACAACCAATGTCTTAATCCCCTCCGAAATGTCTTCCTTCGCCACATTTTTTTAAATCGAATTTTATATTTTTTTACAATATTATATTGTATACCACAGAGTAAAATAATATTTAATTTCAATTTAATTTATTCAGTAATAATAGTGATAATACTGTACTGATAATATGTGATAATATACGAAAACTTGCTCACAGATACAAAAATAACTCACATTTAGTGAAATCAATGGATCCCTCTCGCTACGCTCCGAATCTAATAAATGACTATACATAAACCATTACTGAGAAAAACGATTCTGATCGGAGTTCAGATATACACGTTTTGAATTTTCATAATTTTTTGTCCAAATTTTGTAAATCATATATATATACAAAAAAAAAAAAAGAAATATTACATAACATTCAACTTTTTTCATTCACTACATAGCACTTATAATAAACCTCGTGTTAAATTTTCCAGGATTTCTGTTCGGTCAAACAATTTTATCCACATAGTATGTACCTACCAAATAATAACTAAAACAAATTTCTATAAATAGCTCAGGAACCGCCAAAATGTTTTCGCGTAGAGTAGAAAATGCCTATACATATGTATTCTGCGAACATTTCAACTCTTCACGATAATTTTTAACCGATTCACATTAAAAATAAAACCAAAATCGAAAATAACGAAACGTATATCCTACGTTTTTTCCGGTTTTTCCGAATTGTTATGAAAACCGGTTAGAAAATCGAAAATTTACTTCTTTGACGCACCGACCATGTCAAAAACGCCGAACCAAAGTCCCTTTGTTGTCAACACGAAATAAATATATAATTTTAATGCGTTTCTCGAAGTACTCAGAATCTAATAAAAAAAAAAAAAAAAAAATAATAATAATAACAAACGCTCACGCCGTGTCATTGAGAAATATTAATATTTTCGGTACGCATTATTACAGATCTGGCTGAACGTACAGTATGAGAAGTCGGTGACCAGGACCCGGTGGGACGTGACGCAGACCCGGGACTGGTGTCCGGCTTTCGGCCGGTACCAGGCGGCGCCCACGGTGCTGGGTTCCGTGCAGCCGGACACTGTGGACTACACGCCGCCCGCCATCGCCGACGCCCGTCTCCTGCAGGAAAAACTGGAGCAGACGTTGCGGAACGCAGTGATGAAGTGCCGGGTTAAGTCGAAGACCGTCTGGAACAGGTACTGCGTGTCGGTGCTCCGCAAAATCTTACCGCATCTGGAGAGGGAGACGTGGAACAACGGTTCCGTGGAAAACGGTCACCTGGCCGAGTTGCAACACTTGCTCGTGTCCCACAAGGTGAGCGCGACACCGCATTTGAGTTGGCCAGAATCAAACGTCACGATTTTCACGAAAACGGGATAATGATAGCAGTTAGCGGCACTGTTTCGAAGGGGTTTTGAAGGCGGACAAACAGGTTTCATTGTATATGTATGGTGTGGATTTTTCGATACTGAACCCTATTATTCGGTGTCGGCCTGGCCAATAGGCGTATTTGCGTCTGGCGGGGTGAGGGGGGCCTCTCAATGCCCGAGATTTATAAAATATCGCCGTTTAACTGTAACTACTGAATGATTTTTACGCAGAGATGAATTATACACAGTATTGTTTAGACTTGAGTCGATTATTGCAAACCGCGGTAAAATAACAAAAAAAAAAAAAAAAAAAACAAATTTTATTACGAATAATTGCGCGAGCTAGTATATTCATACACCAATGAAAACCTAAAATAATTTCTCGGAAAATTACTTTTGTAATTATAGCATATTATATAAGAGCGAAGAAACTGATAGTTTTACAAAGAGGTTTATTTTTATTTATTTTTTATAATTTTTATCTGTGCGCAACTTTTCCACCAAAAGACTTGCTCGGACTTCTACGTGTAGCACTTTTTCTGAAAGAAAATCGGCACGGAGGGATACTTTAGAGAGGTCATTTTTCGATTTCCTCAAGAGTTTTCTCATCAAATTTAAAAAAAAAAATGGAAAGAAAAAAAAACGGAAAAATATACCTCGCCAGTGAAATTTCCCTTTAGATACGTTGCTATTGTTAAAAGTCGGAGCACGAGTGCTGGTAGAAAAGTTATGCACAAATAATAATAATAATAAAAAAAAATAAACATCTTTGTAAAACTACAAGTTTTTTTGCTCCACTCAGAATCTAAAAAACCCATTTTCTAATGTAAACCTAAAATGCTAACAGAAACCTTTCGCGCAGTGGCGCCCAAACTATATATCGAGTGTAACAGTTACTCCACACCATATTTTGGGTGGGTGGGTATTTCCGGTAATTGGGATTTGGGATAGCCGGGTAGAATGGATATTAACATTCAAAAGTTTTACGTTTTAGCGTTGGAAAGTATACTATATTTATATGGGTAAAAGTTGTTGACGTGGGTGGGTCGTAGTTTTGACTTTTAAATTCTGTTATAGCATAAAAATATAATTTGGGCACCACTGTTTTCGCGTGGTTTTTCGATTGGAACAAGTCTTTCTGTCTGAACCACGTGTTACTATTGTCAATCAAGGAAAGAAAAATCGTGCTGTTTGAATCTGGGCAACCGCTTGTATAAAATTGCCACACCGTAATCCGTCTCGTTGTATTATTATTAAAATTCCAACAGATGTGCGGGTTCCCTATAAACAGACCGTACAGCAACACCGAAGTCCTGGTGGACGCGATAAAATCTACTGGCATGCATCTGAACGAAAACCCGATGGTGGAATTCGCTCTGGCCGTCTACGTGCACCCGTACCCGAATCAAGTGCTGTCCGTCTGGATATACTTGGCGTCTTTGCAGCCCAGACGTTAATCGTAAGTGTTCATCGTCGGTGTACTCACGGTGTCGGGGTGTGGTGGTCTTATCATCGCGCTGTACATACTATTTTAATCCGTTCGTTTTTAGGGTACCCATACGAAAATGATAAATTGTATTATAAAGTTTATACAAATACTTAAGGTTCGTTTTTTTGTTTACCCGTATACTCCATACGTGCGATCCTATGCAAAAATCCATCTCGCCTTTGATCGTCCTGTTGGGGTAGAAGTAGAGAAGCGCCTCGGTTAAATACCTACCTAATGGGCGAGTAATTACCACCAAACATATTTTTTGATGACCCAAAATTTGGGTAGATATTTGTTTTGAACATATAGTGGTGTAATATTTCAATTTTAATAATAGTTATTAATTAATAATTAATAAAAAAAATAAAGTGAAAACAAAATTATTAAAACGATTAATACTCGTAAATATGTATAGAAATAAAAAATGAAAAAAAAAAAAATGAACGAATGCGTCGTCCGGAGTATTATGATAGGTGTGTTAAACGACCGGTTAGAATTAAAAATTCATCATCAGTTATATCACAATCAAAATGTAAAACGCGACTGAATATAAAAAAATTAAATGAAGGAATACATAGAATAAAAATTATACAAATTGGTCGTTGTGCATGGTAATGATTTATTTTAATAAGAGAGATTATTTAAAATGGGTTATTATTAGACATAGGTATGTTAAGAAATATAAACTATTTGGCTATTATTTATTATTTAAATTTGATATAAGATATTATTATTTTTAAATAGGTTTTTACATTTAAAACATTATTAAAATAGTTTTTTTTTTTTTATTTCATTGTATATATGTAATTCTTCTAAAACTGAATTAATGTAAATGTTATTTTGGGTGTTTAACATCACTAAGTCTGTATTAATATCAAAGCTTGAATTATGGTTATTTTCTAAAACGCGTTTAGCGAAATTTCAATTAGAGGCAGTCTTTTTTAATTTTATTTCAAAAATGTGTTGTTTATATCTTATTTAAAATTTCTATTTGTCTTACCTGTATACAATTTATTACAGTTACATTTAAGTTTATGTGCACCAGCATTTTCAAATGAAATTGGGCAGGTCATAAATTTTATGTATGTAAGACAAATAGAAATTTTAAAATAAGATATAAAAAACACATTTCTGAAATAAGCAGAAAAAAGCCTTATAATACTTATTAATAATACTTATAAAGAAATATAAAAAAAAAAAGGAAAGTGTTTTCAAAAGAATTTGTTTCGGGTGAGTGGGAACACTATTTTAAATACTTCATAAATGTAGGTTTTCGATTGTGATTTTAAAAGTGATTTCCCGTTCCGCATTTTCTCCAGGAGGAGTTGACCCGCAGTGGATATCCGCTTAAAAATGTCCCCGCGCCATGCATTCGGAATACTCTTCTAACTACTCACCTACTACAGCGTTCAACCACTGGTATGGAGTGATGTGTGTGAAATTTTTTTTAGGGTTTTGAATATTATAATATACGTTTACAGGTATGGAAATGGAAAACCGTAGGGTTATTCATTTATTTGCGAACTGTTACGCTCGCGGATTACTGCAGTAAACGCGCGTCCGAAGAAGGTATTCTCGGCGGGTCTTGAATATTTTAATACTGTACAGTGAAACGGGTTAAAAGCATACCGTGTTCGCCTAGGGCTGCCACTAGGGTATATATTGTATGATGTTGTACGTATATGTATGTAATATGCATTTCGGAGTTCAGATACGTTTTTTCCCCGATTAAAACGACGGTGGTGGCGCTGACGACGTCATTATGATTTAAATAATATATGCGTCTCGATTTTAAAGCGAATTTTTTCCGCGTGTGGACACAGTACGGAGGCGCCTATATTCTGTCGCTCTTATCTGTTTACAAGACCATGCGGCGACGGTTTTTCTCGATATATTAATTGTATCAACGACGGGCGGTTTGTTTCTCGATCGAGCAAACAAAATTCGACTTGTGGGTGTACAGCTGCAGTGTAACTTCGGAAGTAAACCAATAGCGGTTTTAAAGGGGCCAATTGCGGATTTGTAATTTTTACCCAAATAAAATACAGCGAATAAAAAAATAAAGTAAGTACGTTTATCGGCTCTATCTGTTTGAAGATTAAGATTCGTCGTCGTGTTGTGGTAAAATCGGTTAGTGATAAGTTCCGACGTGGAAAATATCGTCACGCAGGGACTTCACTTTACATGCTCTTACGCAGGCTCTTTGTCACTGCATTTATAAAAACACGAATATACGGACATTGACATTTATATTGTATCAACTATATTAATACAGTGTTGAGTTGAGAGTTAATTTTCAAAATTAATCATTTCAAACCCGTCCAGTTACAATAAAAGTTAATTATTGTTATTTATTTTGATAACTCTGTTTATCGCGTATAGCGAGCTTAAGTATGCGTAATTTAGTTAATCCAATATGTATTTGGGAAAGTAAATTAACTTCAGGAACTGATGCACTCGACTCCCGTGCTAAGTTTGATTTGTACGCTGCACACCATAATTCAATAGAGTACATAACATCACCTCCAAAACCAAGTTTTATCAAAGTCCTCAACGTAAAATGGAAATTTATATGTAATATTGGAATTTTCTTGTAGTTTGTTTTTCAGTTTTAGCATATTTATAGTCCAAAGAAAAAATTGCTTATCAGAAGAGATATCAGATACTTGAGGCCACAACAAACTATAGGTATCTACATTTCGATTACATGTATAACAATCTTTTTTTTTTCTTTAACATTTTCTCAAATATTGATACCAGTTTCGAGTAGTATTTCTGACCTGCGGACACCAGCAACATGCAGTTACATTAATACATTATTTTTTTTATAATAAAAGTTAATATCTTTAAAAAATAATAACAATAATAATACCATTAAGTTTTTGGATACGTATTATATTGTCCTAATAAATTGTCATGTATATTAAATGATTATAACAAACTCCAAATGGAAAACAAAAAATAACTACAATATTTCCAACAATATTCAAATATGTATATGTTTACTATTTTTAAAAATAAGAAAAGTAACAACGTAACATAAGTAATACAGTCGGCGTAGTTCAAAATCAATTTTTTTGTTTTTAAAAATTATAATCAAACAAAACTTGAATTTTTTTTGCCCACTTTTATATTTATACAAATGTGTATTTTATATATTATAACTGAATGCTTTCACAAGAGCATTGTGTTTTCCTATATTAAAAATGTAAAACTACAGAACCAAAACTCATACGGTATAAATTTTGTACCGTTTATGGTTATTAGGAAATTGAAATATTATTTTTAAAAAAATATCAATGCAGCTAATCAACATATATAACGCAAATTATTTAATAATACAGAGTGTATTATTTCCAACACGGCTTCAGAATAATTACTCAACCGAAAAAAAAAAGTTTTTAATATAATTATCGAATTTTAATTTTTTTTTCGCTTATACATTGTGGTCGAACCTCCTACATCAAAAAATATGTTAATTAAGCAAAACGTAAAAATAATTACAAAACTATACTATAAATAAAAACGTTGATATTTGGCATCGAGTATTTGTTTTCGGTGAAAAAAAAACGACGTCCTAATGGAAATAATGGGAATGGGAGCAGCCACTGTTATGGGTAATTTAATGTATAAGCAACGATAAACAATTGCTAACGAAAAAACGATTCTGAGTGGAGTTCAGTTGATAGTGATGTTTTGTCAATAATATTTCATATTATGGTAAAATAATTAAATAGACATTTTATATTTTCTTTAATAATATTTGTTTAACATTGTATCGATTTGTTTGCGTTTTCCCATGTTTTTTCCATTTTCTGGGAAAACTCTTGGAAAAATCAAAAAATTACCTCCCTAAAGTACCTTGCCAGTCAGATTTACTTTCAGAAAAAATGATATAATTTTAAATCCAAGTGAAAGTGCTGGTAGAAAAGTTGTACACAGAAAAAAAGGCCATAATATTTTTTTATTAATTCCTACATTTCGTACAATTTCCGTTTTTCTTCTGTTCTCGGACAGGACTAATAACGGTCGACACAGCGCGATAATTATTAGAAGGGCTTGGAACTTATTAAACTTAAAATACATAAAGAAAAGCGTTTAAATATGTGAAAAAAGAATTATTACTATAACTATTACAAGAACAAATGGTAGATGGGATTAAAGGCCCTCCGTCTAGCGGCTCCTCTAAATTATTAAATACAATTTTCTAACGCGATACAAATGATTAACAAAAAGTTAATTTTGTTTAAATAAAATCCTTATGTATTATAAAAAAAATAACTGGGTTAATAATTTGTGTAGTGTTAGAGAACTGTATTTAATAAGAAAAGAAGGACATTTAAACACTTTTACCGTTTTTGTTTTTTTAAATATGATTCAAGTGCCTTTTTCAGAGCTTTTTTAACGTTTGTAGTCCCTTTTTTGTGGATTCGTGCAACAAGTCTCGAGCTCTAATTATTAGGCTCGTGACTCACACTTGTACAATATATTGTATGACGTGAGAAAACATTCTAGCAAATAATCGTTTATTTCGTTCTCTCGCGGTGATGATCGGAATCGGTTTGATTAAAATATACGAAATGTGTTAGATATCAATATATATTATTATTAGGTCGGTTTTTTAAAAAAAGGTCAATTATGAAAATCAAATTTTGAACTCTTTTTTTTTTTTTGAAGTGATAAGAAAAATTAATTTTGTGAAAATGTCGACTGGATATGTCACCTCTCTCTTCGTGTCGTAAAACGGTTAAAATATAAAAAAACGACTTATCAAAACAAACATTTTCTTCAAACTAATATTGGTTTAAAATATAGTTAATCTATGTGCGTGTACTTCGTTGTCGGCCTGTCTGTTATATGTGAACTCCGCGACATTTCTGTCTGTCGTGTCGCTTCCTACAAGTGTGAATCGGGCTTTACATGTGATGTTTAGCAGTTTAAATTGAAATTATACAGGGTGTTTAACATAACGTATGGCACTCGTTATCTCAGAAAATATTAACACTATTTTCTGGATTTTTTTTTTTTTTTATTTGAACATTATATTAGAAATAAATAGCTATAAAATGTTCCGTTTCTCTATTTTTTTGTCACCCTCAGTTTTGGGGGTGAACGTCCACAACCTATACATTCGATGTTTTAATAACAACCCATATTGAACATTTTATAAATACGTGGAGTATTAGTTTAAATCGATTTCGGTGCTGATATTTTTAATTTCCGTGAACCCGTTAACGATATATTTTACTCATAAGTTTCGGCGGGCAGGAAAGTAGTTTCATCATCTGAAAATCAAAATAAGATAATGGTTTTTTGTATTTTTTCTAACCCAGGTCTACCTATGTGGGTTTCCCTTCTATAATTGATTTTAGCAAGTTTTAATGTCTGATTATTATAATACGTCCAATCCACTCGTTTCGTCCGCTTATCGAGCTTCTCCATAGCGTTCTTTTTTTCCGTTAATTTGTTTGGTGTTTCTTCAGTTGTTATTCTCTCTGTCCAGCCTGTTATTCAGTTCGTAATTCTGCTACGGCGTCCGCTATTCGTTATTGGTCCCAGACGACCCGTGTACTCGGCGAGCACCGTAATCGCGTGTGTTCGTCGAGTATTTCGACTTGACGATTATGTCGCACCTACCAGTGGCGTTTTTGGTTGTATTTTTTTAGTGAGGCGACTTATGTGTCACTCCCTCTTCCTTCATAGCAAAAAATTAAACTTCACAATAATGGAATTTAAAAACGTAAAAATAATCGCAATTATAATAACAATATACTTGTTTCGTATAGTAATACTCAACAGTTTTCCAAACAGATATTTAATTTTACCCGATAACAAACACGGCTAACATAACAATTTTTGTATATTAACCATTTCCACATAACCAAGAGTGTTGTCGATATAAATCTGGATTAAATTACCTACAGAATACCTCACTTAGTTTATTGTCGGCAGTCAAAACTGACGAAATCGGAACGGGCCTCAGGTCTACTCATTTTTAGTAAATCGTTTTTACCACCAGAATTGGTCAACGTCGAAATGGCGTTTCCGACAACGTGACAACCCCGTCCGTCGCCGGATTCATAATACAAGTGTTGAATAAAAAGCGCGACGTAACACGTGTAAACAAATTTAAACGGACCAACACGAGCGGTGATTTGAACATGACGGAAATATTAACTAATATTGAAATCGGTTTCATTAGGCGCCGTGACAACGATAACTATTATTTACGACCACGCGTTTTGTTGTTGAACGTGCCGCAGCCGTGGCTGCGGGCTTACCGTAATATCATTTTATCCATTTTCGGTACACAGAGTCGACGAGAAACGAGCCGCACGATGATCATTGCGCATGCGCAATTCTACTCATTTAAAAGGTCGCCGAGTCGCGTGCGTTCACACGCGTACATACGCGTGTGTGTGCGATTAATGTACACGAGTAAAAATTCAAAGGCGACCGTAAAACGGTCGCCTCTCTGACGTCATCGGAACACTGCCGCCGGCTGAAACGTCAAGCGTTTGTTTACGTAGTAATTATTTCGTGCATTTTTTTTTTTTATTTTTTTCATCGGTTTATCACTATTCTCGGTAATACACACGGAATAACATTATAAAATAATAAAATAAATGTTTATCCGTATATTATTAAACTCCGTAAAGAAGAATTTTTTTTTTTTTTTTTTTCAAATAAAATCATAAATACGTTAAGAACGATTTGCGAAATGTGCGCTATCGGTGAGCCGAGAATTAAACTTTCAGAGTATTATTTACTACGAAATATCAGATGAGGCGCCGTCTCAATTGCCTCACCCTCAAAACCTCCCACACGACCTAACCCCCTATTTCCAACTGACAACTGTATCAAAACGGCGACCGATGATGTGGCGCTAGTGGCGAGGGGGACAAGTCGTTTGGGAAACTATCCACAGTCGCCATAATGAAAAACGTGATTATAATATTCCTTTGAGAATCGTGTCGCATTTACCGAAAACCGATAGGAAACGACGAGTGACTCGGTGAGTGAAAATATTCGCTATACTCGACGATTAAACACCTCCTACACGATTCCCCGTAAAGCATCGCGGTTGACGATTATTCGTCGAGTACACGAGTTGTGTGGGACGGGTTTAAGACTGAGACCAACGTAACCGCAGTTCGGTAACACATAATCTGAAGTGTTGTAATTTTTTTTTTTTTTTTTTTTTTTGCGATTTTCGTTTAAATTTGATTTTAAAACGCTTATATTTTTGACAGTGCATCACTCACAACCGAACTCCGCTCAAAATCATTTTTTGGTTCATGCTTTATCTTTGCTAACAGATTTACATTAAATTAATCCTCTACTATCTTCCCGACATTTCACCTACAACAGTGGCCTACCCACGTGCGAAGTATGTCCGTCTTTTTTTATTTTTACGTATTACCGATCGTCTAAATGATATATGTATCATCACGATAATCGATATCCGGAATTTTGACCGTGAATTTATTGTAAAAACGATTTGAATTTTGGATACTGAGCAAAGTGAGGAACATAATATTATATAGTTTTATTATATGCGATGTGTTTTTTGTGTTTGTGTGTGTCTGTAAACAACTATTCTACCAGAAATCGTGTGCTTCGATCAAAAACTTTGTTGGAACTTTCTTTAGTAGAGTTTTCGATCTAGTTGGTGCGTTTAGGAGATCGTTATTGTTCATTGCCCTTGTAGGGTTTTCTATTATAGTAAATAGGAAAAAATTGGCAAATTGTCTGTGTATTTTTTGTTAACTAATACTACTTTGCTCAGAATCGTTTTTCATTAGAATACAATTTAAAGACATTTAAAATCTTTTATATTAAAATATCCTAAAAATTATAATATTCAAAACATTCGAATGTGCTTAATTTCAAGACGCCGGTCTTGTTGTATTACTAGAAATAACTTATCCGCGGTCCAGGGCCTCGAAATAATGAGGGGCTCCATATATTAATTTGGTCTTAAAATTATTTTTGTTTAAATTTATTAATGTACAACGTAATTACTAAAAATACTACTGGCGACAGAATTCTTAGTTGTTATATTTAATCAGTAATCGATAAAATTATCTAATAAGATAAAATTGGTAAATCTTACATTATTATCATTACAAACCAATAATAATCTTTGAACAAAAAAATAGATACAATAAAAAAACAGAATTTATAATTTAATTTAAAGGTCTCGTCAAAAAAGGGCTTCTTAAGTAGGGTTCTATATTTCATACGGACCGTCTCGTATATCGAAACGAGCCCGTTCGCGAAGACTAAAAAACATTTAGCAAATCTTTCGGAAAAATGAAACCATATGTGTATTTTATTTTAGATTCGGTGTGTAACGAGGATTATATTGGTTTTATAATGATGTTCATTTGTTTTTATTATTATTGTGTGAGCGATATTTTTCCACCAGAAATCTTGCTCCGATTTTTAAGTGTAGTATCTTTTCTGGACGGAAATTTTTACCCAGGTGGTATTTTAGGAAGTCATTTTTTTTGATTTTTCAAGCGGGTTTTCATAATAATTGAGAAAAAACGGAAAAATATACGTACACGTATAAGAGAAACATCCTTCCGAATCGTTTTTCGTTAGCAATGGTTTATTAGTTGCGTAATACGGATATAAATTAAATTCCCTTCTACATGTTATCTTTTCGATTTCTCACCTACAACAGTTGCCCACCCATCGTGAGTAGTATATCCGTTTTTTTTTCAGATTTTTTTTTTTTTGTACAAATCACCTTGACACATAATATTTATTATTTATGGTCCCGAAACCCAAAAAATAATTGTAATCGAATAACAGTCGTTTAAAAATGTTTAAGCTATATAGGTACTCGGTATGGTGTCATGTCGTGTTTTTAAGTGGTATTTTTTTTTTCTCCAAAATAAATGTAACGCCGTTTCGACACGTAGAAGTTTTGTTCGTGTCCCGGGAATTAATTTCCGCCGCCGTGTTTCGATTTATTTTCATGCGTGCACGAATACAGGGCGCAACACGAAAATCTGACATCTGAAATAACTAATGTTCTGTTCGATATTTTTAAGTTTTTTTTTTTCTTGTTATATAATAATTACTAGTGTTTAGCGCTGAAATTTTTCTGTTTTACATTCAAACATTTAAGAGTAAAGGAGCTTATTGTTCATAATATATTATGGTTTTACAAAGATGTTTTTTTTTTTTTTTTTGTAATCTGTGGACAACTTTTTTACCAGAAATCTTGCTCAGATTTTTATGTATAACACCTTATCTGAAAGTAAACCGGACTGAGAAGGTAATTCAATAGGAGGCCATTTTTTTTGATTTTCCTAGAAGTTTTTTCAACAAATTTGAAAAACCGAAAATAAACCTGGGGAAAAATGGGAAAATTTACAAAACGTTAGAATTAGTTGAAAAATATTACGGCGTTTTTTTTTTTTCAGTGAATAACTTTTCTACCAGCAATTTTTCTTCGATTTACAATGATAGTATACTTTCTGAAAGAAAATCTGACTGAAAAGTTACTTTAGAGTGGTCATTTTTTGATTTTCCCAGGAATTTTTTACAACGGATGGGAAAAACGGGAAATCTGACACAATATTAAAGAAATATTATAAAAGAAAATATATAACGCCTATTTAATTATTTTACTATAATATGAAATATTATTGATAAAGAATCACTATCAACTGAACTCTACTCAGAATCGTTTTTTCGTTAGTAATGGTTTATCGTTGCTTACAGATATACATTAAATTCCTTTCTGTTTTCTACCTTCCCAAATTCCCACCTACAACAGTGGCCGTACCCACGTGCGAAGTATGTATGCGAAGTAATTTTAATCTTTAACAATGATGCGTCGTTAATTTTTTACAATTTGTCGGGAGTTTACGACTGTTTAAAACGATTTCATCGCCACTACTAAATAATTTCTATCGACTGGTTTTTAGTGCTAACTATTATTTATTCGATCGATTTTTTTTTTTGGGGGAGAGAGGGAAGGGGGCGTCATTCAACGAATTAGAGTCGGCCATAAATTCAACGCTAAAACTTACATTTGTACTCTTTTTCACAGGACGGCGGTTCAGAATTTTAGTTCCCGTTCTCGTAGTTATTAAATTTTATTGCATCAATTTCATGATTTTTAGGTTGGCTGAATTCAAATGGCACGCACTTTTTGATAGCATAATACTTTTTTTTACATAACATTACAGTCGGGTGCTCATTTCGGTAATTCAAATTTTGCAAGACACGATTTAGAAAATATCTACTCATATTATTAGATTTGATGTAAATAAAGTTATAGATAGGACACGTTTTGTACCAAAAAAATGTTTAATGATAACTTACTGCGTTTAAAGTTAATTTCAAACATGTCTTACCTTCTCTTTGCAATATTCCTTTTTCGGTTTCGTTAAACAGTATGCAAAACCAGACAATTTTTTTTTTTTCAAACTTTGCTATGTGAACATATTATGTTCATACGTTTAATACACGAACAATTAATGTTAATGATATTTTCTAATTTCTACCAATTATCATAATATCTCATTTATACTCGCATTTAGTATTTTAGAGCCTTTGCCACGTTGACGATATTTGATTACGCGATTACAAAATACAAATGAGAAATTACCTAGATTTTACTCGTTGGATTATAACTGTTTTAAATCCCGCGTTCATTCCTACAAGCCGGAAAGTAAATGTTTAAAAATAGATATCTAATTTACAGGGTACGGCTCGCATAATCCGATTTCATATTATTTGTGACGTTATCGTCGGCGTTGTGTTATCGTTGGTTGTGTTATTATTAAGGGGCCTGTAAACGATCAAACTGTTTGTCAAATTATTTGATAGTATGCAGACTTGTTTTGACGCGTTTGTCAAACAATTGGCGCGATTGATGTGTTTGGTGGAAATTTTGATTGACGGCATGTTTGGCCGTGTTCGACAAACAGATTTCGATTACGGTTATGTTTGTCAAACGAGATCTCAGTCATCGCCTTGACAAGTAATAAAGTGTAATAAAAGGCTTTGGACGATAAGTCATAAAAATACGAACGTCAAATCACGACAAAACCGAATCTAAGAGTATAAGCTTGACGAATTAGTTTGGTTTTTGGTTTGACCGTTATTTGAGCTATTGTTTGGAGTAAACATGGAGTTTGACAATCAAAATTGTCAAATAAATTTGATAAACGTTTACATGGGGCCTTTATAACTGGTTTTACGTCGTGCTGGCTGGTAACTGGTAAAAATATCCTGATCTATAATATGCGAGGAAAAAAAATATCCAGGCGGAAAAAGTATCCGAGGAAAAATATAAGGGTGGGAAGTATATCCAAGGAAAAAATATCAAATTATAAAATGTATAATAATTCATGAATACTCATATACATATCCATAATATGTGTTTAAAACAATTCTTGACTGTACTCAGTTACAATTTAGTTATATATCCGAAGATATCCGAAGACAATAACACATTGTTAAAACATTATTATTTATATTTTATTCCGAGATATTATTATTATTATATATACTCACAGATAATATTGTTTTGATATTTTTACTGACGAACAAGATTTTAGATTCTGAGCGGAGCGAAGATTGTATTGGTTTTATTAAGATGTTTGTTATTATTTTTTTTTTTTTTTTATATGAACACTTTCAATCAGAAAACTTACTCGATGTAGACTCTTTTCTAAAAGAAAATTTTCTTGGGGTTGTGCTTTAAAGAGGTAATTTTTTGATTTTCTTGGATGATTTCTCATCAAATGTGAAAAACCGCCGAAAAACACTGAGAAAAACGAGGAAATGTACGAAATATAATAGTAAAATATTATAATTATTTTCGTATGGACAATTTCTTAACCAGCAATTTCGCTCCGATTTACAATAATAGCACTTTTTATGAAAGGAAATCTGACTCGGGTGGTATTTTAAAAATGTCATTTTTTTGATTTTCTCAGGAGTTTTCTCGGTAAATGTAAAAACCGGGGGAAAAAACGTAGGAAAAACGGGAAAATAGCTAGGTACGATATTAAACAAATATTATGAAAAAAAAAAATAAAATATATAATGCGTATGTAATTATATTTACCATAATATGACATATTACCTATATACAAAGCAATAGTACCGGTAGGCCGATCCGCCCCTGCCGCTTGGTGCCGTGCGTTACACTAGTAACGTCCAAATATTTAAAAACGCATTGTGTTCAAGGGGGCGCCCCCTGGACTTCAAAATTTCAAACATAAATTCAATAATTAATAATGAAATTATATTTCAATTTGCAAGTGTTATTTGGCGTTTGATTTTATCATGACCCTACCAGATAAATTTCCTGCGGGTGCCCATGATCGTATTGTTGTTAATATTGGAACGAAACATTTTTTTTATCAACTATCTTTTAGCCCATTCGTTTTAGCGGTTCGCTGATAATGTTGCGTTTCTTGGGATATTTCGATACGGCGGTTCCGGGATCGTTAAAATACATATGTGGGCCGAGTAGACGGTAAATAGAAACAGCATTATATTATATTATTATAATAACAATAACACTAATTCAAATTATTAATCGCCGGCGGAATTTTCCCCTCTTTACGTGATTTGGCAAAGAATACAAAAATAAAAACGCCGTACACATGTTTATACAGTATAAAGACAAAAAAAAAAAATACGTATTGTACATTTATAATAATAATAATAATATAATTCTACGTAGACGACATAATATTACGATATTTAGTTAATATTATCAAAAAAATTAAACCACTTATAGGGGTAATATTACAATAATAATAATAATAATATAGTATTAATAATAAAACGTACATAGCGATAAAATAATATTTATGATAGTATATAATATTATTCGCGTAACTAAAAAATATAAAATCGTTAAAAAAAATAAATGTACATAATATATTTCTGTTCGTAAATTATACGCGATACGAAATCGCCAAACTATTATACGAAAAAATAACTCGGTGAAAATATTATGTCGTTGTCGACTAGAGGGCGGTGCGATTCTCGTTGACCCGTTCGTCCGTATGTTTCACGTTTTTCGCGTGTAACGATAATAATATATTATTTATGTTTAACCTAACCTAATAAAATAAAATATTATAAATATCGAATTTTGTGTTTGCGCGGTTCCGGACGGAAATCTCGCGCCCGGAAAACCGCGGTAACCGCCGTCGGCATGCGATTATCTCTAGAGGACGTGCAGGTTTTCGCAGTCCTTGAGTTTCGTGTCCTCTTTGCCGAACACCCAAGTGAACATCTGTCGGGCTTTGAGGCTGGCCTTTATGAAGTTTCGGTTCTTGTACCAATGGTCGTGGCCCTCGCCGCCGTCCGCCCGCTTCAACCTGATCTGAGTGAGAATGCCCACCAGCAGTTCGTCGACGTTGTGGTTGATGCCCACTGACACTTCGATGTACTTGGCCCGGCACGTGCACGCCAAGTACCTGCCCTCTGAAAAACAAACGATTTACTCGGGTCGAATATTGTTTCTATGTACCGTGAAAAATTCACCGGGAATTATGATGTATTAGAGTCAAACTCCGGTGACAGTACAAAACAAGAGGGCCAGTGAAATCCCTGACGCTAGCGCACTCTTTCCGCAGAAGACGCCCGGACCAACATTTTGAACGATATAATATAACACGCATTGGCATATTCTAATGTGAACAAGTGTGAGAGTGTTCCATTACGATCAACCGCATTAGCGTTGACTACGGTTGAATTTAGATCCCAATATAGACGGCATAGCCTAAGCATATTATATTTTAACCGTACACAACTTCACCGCGTACCGGATTACCGAAGTCGCGAGTTCCCTATTTATTTCGATACGACTCATCATGCCCACTCATTTTTTAAAATAATTATAATTTTCCCATTTCCACCAATTTTTGGCTATCAATATAAATCTATGAAAAAAATTAAATTAATACGCCTCGAAATGTTAGATTTTTTTTCTCAAAAATATGCGCACATCAAGAATGTGCATTGTGCATGTATATACTATGATAAATTGGAGTGAACGATCCAAAATAGTTGGGTCGAAGTCGAAAGGGGACAAGATTAATGTGTGTAAAGAAATTTGTTCCATACCCCGAGCCGACACTTCTCTGCTCCTGGCCATATCGACTTTGTTGCCGACCAATATGGCCGGTCTTGACCGCAGCATTTCGTGTTCCTGGAGCCTCTTGAGCACGATCTCGGCCGTTTCGAAACTGTTTTTGTCGACCACCGAGAAAATCACCAAGTACGCGTCGGCCAATTTGGGCAACCGATCGTCTTTCACCTATAAACATAATAATATAAGATTTGTAAGGATTTGTTTTTGATTTATATTATAACGGTTAAAAGTTCCGATCGATACGATAGTATGTACTGAAATCTTTAGGAAAAAATTTTTCTTGAAAATGCGAGTTTAGAGTCGTTAAGATAAAAACAAGCGCTCTGTATGTGTATTGTTTAATATGAACAACAATTTAACAATAATAAAATAAATTTGTTTACCGAAACCTCTCTCTCGTTGATAAATCTGAGTTCGGATTCTTCGCCGTTCAACATTATGCACACCGACTGTACCGACGATTCATGATTGTCTAAAAAAAAAAAAAAAAACCGCATAATATTATATTATTTAAATGTGTAAATAAAATGTTATTATTATACAGCCAGTGTGTTCCGTTCGATGCACTCGACGCATTATCGTACGATTTTTGCGTATTTTCTTAAACGCGACACTAAGTAAACAGGCACGTTGGCGAAATTTGTCCGGCGCGTATAAATCGTGCCCCGGACTTGGAATAAACGATAAAACCGCGGGACAAGAAACAACTTGATTTTAAAATGGGTTTGTTTTTTACGCGGTTGTTGCGCCATCACGGAATACGGACAATGGATATAAGATAATACGGACTGAACGCGATTAGGTAGGTGGGTGGCGAAGGCAGGGTTATTAAATCGTTTTTTCCAAGACTGGGGTACTTACATACACAGTGATTGGAAATACACTGCTGACAAGGTGGCTGTTTATTTAATCATGGTCCTATCGCGGTCTTAGAAGATAGGACCGGAAAACTCTTTCTTTTCAGATGCCCCGGCTTCATTCGAACGAAAACGATTAAAATGTTCACGGCATTTTTTATAAAGCGCTGCTGGTCAAACGTTGTCGGGATTAGGAATTTTACAATATATATGTATGCGCGTTTAACATGGTAAATTTTACATACGTTTTCGCCTAAACAAGCGGGACATTGCTGGTGGGCTGGCGGCGGGCAAGTGATCCGATCATATTATATTTTAAGACCGCGATCTTAACCATAATTTTTCAACTGTTCGACATTCTGAATACCTATTTTCATATTTTTCTGCGTGGGACGATTTTTTTCGGAGTCACGAAAAACTCCACGGGAGATGAGCGCGTACATATAGAAACGGAACCTCCCCCGTTATAGGTTCGTTTTGTTTCTCGAAAGACTCGTCGGAAAGTTTTTAAAACGCGCGCGCACGCAGTTACATCCAAACGATTTCTCAGGGAAGCATTTCGTACATAAGAAAAAAAAAAAAACGGCATTTGCATGCGCACACGTATATATTTCACGCGTATATACACAAAGCGTAATATTTATTCGTTTTACGTGCGCGTACAAATAAATACGTACGCGAGTCAACTCGACGACGTCGTTTCGATTTTATTTTTCGTTTTTATTGCCATACGATATACTACCGATCCTGGTGTATTATTGTCACGTGTATACGTATAGGGTGTACCACGGAGATATGACAGACGCAATAACTTTTGTTCTGTTCGATATTTTCAAGTGGTTTCTTTTGTGCAATAATATTACCTGCAAGGGCATCGCACTATAACCCTTAAATATTTTACTTTGAACGTTTTATTTTTTCGCTTTTTAAAAATCCGCGATAGCAATATTAAAAATTTATTTTGAAACAAAATTTCGGTGTCACATATTACGTTTATTCGCGATGCGCGGCGAGTCGTTGATTTTCTACGATTTTTTTTTTTTAAAGTTTACGAAAAATAGGCGAATCGATTGATATTATTTAGCTTTGTGGCTATAACGCAAAACAATTTAAACTATCGTGAACTCCGACCTATTGTATAAACGTTGGTTTTCGTATGACAAATTCGTTAGGTATTTTTAGTTAAAAATCAAAATAAAATAATCACAGCGCAAAGCTCTATTGTAGTCTAGTATTAGGGATGTGTTCGTTTTTTACATGAAAAATATCGCATTTGTCACATCTCTGTAAAATACCCTATATATACACTCGTATTGTTTGCTATAGCGGCGAAAACATCGCGTTATTTATACGGTGCGTGTATGCGGTTGCGCCGGTCGTAGGTTTTTTTTTCTTTTGTACTGAAATCTTGTCTCCCGGCCCCCCTGTGTTTTTATTTTTTTCGGATTTCGAACGGAACGGGTTAACGGAAATGTCGCGGTCAATGCTGCTCCGGGGGCGGATACGAGGAGGTCTACTGGGGCTGGAGTCTCATTTCCGTTTAGCCCGTAGCTACTTCAAAAAAAAGACTTGCACTATAACCGTCTCGTTCTTATCGCAATAAACATGTTTAGAGCATTATATGAGCGCCATATTTCACAATCGTAAAATGAATATCATCGAAAATATAAGTACGTATAGAATTGATTGGTTTTAAAAAAATATATATGTATACTTTGAAATGTTCAAAAAAAAAAAAAAAAACCAAATATCGACAACTTAAGCTTACAAAATTAACATACGCGATAAGTATACCCAAATAAGTAATAACAAAATAATTATAACATCATCTCGTTAACTATATTTCTGATTAACATCACGAAGATTTGACACACGAAATATAACTTTTGTTCTGTTCAATATGTTTACATTTTTTTCCTTGTTTTAATTTTAGAGCATTGCCCCATGGTTCTTTTATTTTATATTTTGTTTAAAACTAAAAATGGAAAATTGTTTTCACAAAACCCGAAATATTCGTTTCATAATATATATTATTTTGAAACAAAACTTCGGTGTTAAAACATGTTTACTAATTATGAATCGTTAAAAAGTCTCTAGAATTTTTTGAAGTTTACAAAAATCACTAATAAATGAATTATTTTTCACGCACAAATATTGACTAATCGATTGATATAATTTAGTATATGTATAGTGACAATGAAAACATTTTAAAATATCCTCGACTGTACAAAATTGTAGAAAATTAACGATTTTTGATTAGTTAATATTTTTATCATCAAAGTTTTGTTTCCGTATATACTTATTTATCTTGAATTTTATTAAAAAATTATTATTAAGTAATAAAAAAAAATATATACATAGGAAGCTAGTGGCGTATCCATGGGGAGTTTCGGGGATCAGAACCCCCCCCTATGAACCTGAGATAGTAATTTAACTTTTATATGAAACACAGTTTTTTCTTTAACATTTTATATTTTTAAAATAATTTTGTTCCGTTGAGGAGATTTGATTGTTTATTTCTGATTGAAGAGAACGATATTCCAGATACTTTTGAAAATGACACAACAAATTTAGTACAAAAATATTCACAATTATCACCATATTTTTTTTCTTAAGTAATTATTGCAGAACATAGATTATGGTGAACTTCTCTACAAAGTTCGTCTAAAATTCTATTTTATTTTTTAGAATTACTAAATAATTGTAATGAAAATTACTATCCAAATGTCTACAAACTCTTAAAAACCATGGCAACTTTACCCATTACAACAGCTACTGCAGAAAGGTCATTTTCGATATTCCGACGATTGAAAACCTATCTTAGAAATATCACGGTAGAAAACCGTTTACATGGATTAGCTCAGCTGATTGTTCAAAAAACAATAAATTGAAGTTAATCCAGTAGAACTGTTGAATGAGCTGGCAAAAATAAAAATAAAAATGGATTCAGTATTGTAATTAGTCGATAACTATTTTAACATTTGAATTCGGATATAATATATATATATATATATATATTATGTGTTTCATTAATAACGTTTGATAATTTTTATTTGTTTAAATACAATAAATCGATTAATGTAATTGTCTCATTATGTGTTATATTTGTACAATGAATTAAAAAGTGGTAGGTTTAAATTTGCTGAGCCCCCTCCCCCACATAAAAAGTTCCCGGTTACGTGCCTGCAGGAAGTCGCATAGTACGTAAGTCTCTAGTTTTTATTACAAGAGAAAATATTGAAAAAATAAATTATTGAACGGAACAAAATGTATTTCAGAATGTTAGATCTCCGCGGTACAGCCAGTCTCTCCGCGTAGTATAGAATTGACACCCTGTCACCTTGTATTTTCAAAATGTTCGCCTCGCCACTTACGCGGATCACGAACCGCCGTCGGATAAGTGATGGGCGTATATCGGACACGAGATTAGCGGCAAAAGCTATTCGTCGTTAATAAAGCGCCGGCCATTAAAACGTTAAAACCAATTTGAAAATTGTAGAAGACCGGAGAAAATTCGGGAAACCGGCACCACGTCACTACCCTTTAAATACTATCGAGATAAATGCGGTCGCCGCCGTCCGTCCTGACGGATATACAGGGTGTCCCGCAGCGCTCGCCGGATGCTTTTATACTTTGAGGCGGACGTCTGTTTAGAAAATAATCGAATTTCTATTTTCATCCGCTAATCACTAGAAAAACAAAAAAAAAAAAAAAAAAAATAATAACAAAAACGTCTTGTTTGATTTCCGAAATGTTCAATTCGTAACGCGCGACGCGAACCGGGTCATTCTCCGTCGCGTCGCGCGCAGTATCGTTTTTCGCGCGTTCTCTCGCGAAGTCGAAAACGATTCGTACACCCAGACGACGCGGTCGATCGGTACGAACGGCGCGCGTTCGTCGGCCCGGAACACCGCGGTTTCCCTACGCGACCCTGTCGTCGCTGCGAGACCGCGCAACCAGCTCGGGCCGGGCCGGCACGCGAACGGAGCCCGCGAACCGGCGGAACACCCTGTACCTTGCACGTTATTGTATTGTATACGTGTACACGTGCGTATTGCGTTGCGATGCCGCGGTAACGGGCCGCCGCCGGCCGCGGCGCACTCTGGGAACTTATCGCCGCCGCCGCCGCCGCCGCCGATGATAATTATTACAGTTTAGTATCTGTACTCGTGTACGTGCGCACGCGGGCGCTTTATCGCGAAAGGGTTTTGCGGCCGCGGCGGCCGGCCGGAGTGTCGGGAAATAGTTCCGATGCCATTTATCAGTGCGAAGAGGTCGTCTCCCGCGAACTGTCAGCGCGGCCGCCGCCGCCGCCGCCGAATAATTTAACAAACAATAACGGCGATAATTGTATACGCCATTATTATTATTGTTAAGACTACGGGGCTACGGTCGGCCGTCGTAATAGCCGCGCCCCGGAATCGCGTATACAGGACGGTTGTCCGTTGCCGCGAACGCCCGCGGCGAATTTCCCGCTCGTCGCACGTGCGGCGCGCTAATTATCGGCGGCGGCGCGGCGAACGTTTTCGAAAGTGGAAAAAATAAAAAGGCACCGGCGTCCGGGCATCCTTAAAAACCCTTTCACCAGGCCGCTGATTATAGGCGTAGGCGCAACTAGACTACCGACATTGAAAGGGAGGGAGGTGGGGTGCTTAATTTATAGACACGTCAAAAACTCGCGGGGGCCGTGCCTCCACGGGTTTACACCGCGGCTCTCGCAATAACAGCAACCACTGTACGTTTCATTTGGAATCTCGGGCATAGAGGAACTTATCGTGTAACTATTTTAACGTAATTTTTCATATAATGCACACGCGGATTGTCCGTAGGAAATCCGTCTTTTGTACCGAAACAAAACCCAAAATTGGAAAATGCATACTTCAGTATGTGATTTATGTGTCTTGGTATATTAAAAACATGTACGCGAAGGATAATTCTTCGCTGGTTCGCGAAAAGAATCGCCCTGTATATTATTATATGCGCGAGAGGTCGACGACAACGACGACGACGACGATGAGGAATCTGACGACATCATAATAATGAACCGTTGTCTGTTTTGCTCTATTTATTTATTATATCTTTTTCTGTCATCCGCGAGACTTTTCCGCTAGTCGCACACATACCGATATAATCTGTTAATATTATTACGCGTAGTCGCGAGGATTTCGGTATTGTTATTAATTTAATTAATTTTTTTCGATATGTTCCGTTGACATTTCGACCGTTTTTCTTGATTTCGGATCAAATCTATGCGAGCAGGACCCGTTTGGACCAATTTTGAAGACCCGCCGTGGCTAAAAGATACTACTTTTATACAGCCCGTTTGGACCACAGTTTTCCCTATGTTTGTTTAACTGAACGTTTATTCAGCGAACCTTTATATAGTACTATTGTATCTTTGTTGTCTTTTCGTACATAAGACCTTGATACACAAATAACTATTATGTAAAGATAATAGATATAGGTATATATTTAATAAAACTGAATTTTCGTCACGTTTTAAAAGTAAATTTATACTCAGAGATTGTATGCAATCCTAAACAATTTACTTATTACTTAATTTAAACATTAGTTTTCGTAGTTTAATTGAACGTTTATTTAGCGAGCATTTATAGACATTTAAAAATATTGGTCCAAACGGATTGCAGTTTTATTAATGGCCTAAACGTTCCTGGTCCAAACGTGCTTCGCCCATCTATGGTCACACCAATAGGTCTATACTAGGTACAATGGCGTATTTACGACTTGTTTTTGTCATTATTATTCTTTTTGTTTTGTTTTTTTTTTGGAGGGGGGAGGGGTTGGTGGTAAGTGTGTAATTGTTACAATTAAGACGGCCAAGTCCACTTAAACAATATCAAGCTCATTAATATCGTGTAATTTCTGTGTTTCTGGGTTATGGAAACTCCCTAAACGCCCCGCCTAACCCGCCGTAAATACGCCACCGGGTACATATATGGAATATGCGTCTACATGTGGTAAAAACTTGTATTTCTTGTAATATTTTAGGTAACAGCCTGATTTATTTTTCATAAAAGAAAGTAATAAAAAAGGACGGATATACTTCGCACGTGGGTGTAGCCACTGTTGTAGGTGGGAAGTTGGGAAGGTAGGACGCAGACGGTAATTTAATGTATATCTGTAAGCAACAGTGCACACGAATTGCGTCCCGAAATCCTTTTTCCAAATGAATTGTGTCCCGATGATATTTAACCACTACATGAATTGCGTCCCAACGTAAAAACATTATTTTCCTTCCCATTTTATACAGACCGAGGACTGTCAATAGCAACTGTTTACAGCAATTCCAACGTTGAATATCGTTCTTCAGTATTTTATGATAACGAAATTTGTATCCATTTATATTAAATGAAGTTTTATTTTTCACTTAAAATCACTGACGTCATTTTATGCGAATACGATTTATTAAGAAAACTTAGAACACAACGACGTTTACGATTCACGATCCAAACCAGACTAAAAGTAAAACTAAAAATAATATAATATGGGAAATATAATTTTTGGATTGTATGGATATCGTTTAGTGGTTTAGATAAATCCGGACGCAATTCGTGCAAACATTTATCGATTTTTTTTAATTTCGGGTCACGATTGGTGTGCAGCCGTCAGCAACGATAAACCATTGCTAACGAAAAAACCGATTCTGACCGGAGTTCAGTTGATAGTGTTGCTTCGTCAACAATATATATATGTGATAAAATTACAATAATGTGTGTTTCCACGACAACAATGAATGTTTAAAAAATTGTATTAAAATAATAAAAACTTAATAATAATAAAAATAAAAAGAACTGATACTGGTGATGAGAGTGGCAACAGTTGTAGGTAAGAAGTTGGGAAGATAGGATACATAAGGTTATTTCATTTTTTCTGTAAGCAAAGATACACCATTGCTCGATGAAAGATGATTCCGAGCGCAGTTCGGCAATGCATAATTGAAAGTGCCGTATTTATTCTTGCAATTTGCGTTTAAATTTGATTTCAAAACGCTTATTAAAAAAAAATAATCGTCCGATCATTTTGGAAATTTTACCACGTCTAGGTATGTTCAATATAAGTATTATTACCAAGTTTCAAAACTCTACGTGTGTTTATAACCAAATTATAGCAAAAAAACTACCAAAAATTAAAATCCCTTGAAAGCTCAAAAGTGGCTCAAAAGTTTTGGCAATGATACCGTAAGAAAGTATATCATAAAAGTAACTTGTGATTTTTCGATTAAATCATTTTTTCTGGTAGAAGACGTCATCCGTGTTTTTATAAAATAATGAAATCGTGAAATTGTACGTGTAAATAAGTGATTTTGATTAAAAAATGGCGTTGAAAATCAAAAAATGACTTTTTCAAGGTACAATTTAGACAACTTGAGTATTCAGAAAAGTTGCTATAGTAAAAATCGAAACAAGTTTACAAGGAAAAAAACGTGTACACAGACTAGAAGAAAGAAAAAAAGAAAGAAAGAAAGAATAAAAAATTAAATATCTTAGTTAAATCAATAGCTCCCTCGCTACACTCGGAATCTAAAAATAAACATCTTAGTAAAATCAATAGCTCCCTCGCTATACTCGGAATCTAATAAAAACGGTTGCCAATGACAACCTTATTTTTAATCTTTCAGTCTCTTTTAACGTAAAGTACCACGTTTTCCTCATTATCTTGAATTAATTTATTAATGAAAATTTCAAAAAAATGACTTCGCTTAAGTACCACCCGAAGAACATTGTATTTCAGAAAAAGTGCTATATTTGATAATCGGAGTAAGATTTATGATAGAAAAGTTGTCCACAGAAAAAAAAAATAAACAATTTGGTAAAACCAAATACATTTCTTGCTAAACTCAGAATCTAGAACACAGAATCATTTTCTGTCGACTTTAACATTTGCAAATAAATATTATTTTGGATATTTTATTTATTAAATCGGCATATTGTTATTTAATTTTAAAATAATGTACGAACATCATACTTTTTGAAACAAGAGAGAGACATTATAAATATTGAACTTTTTTTCTTTTGGTTATTATTATTTGGTCAAATTATATATCTACAGATCAATACAACATTGTTCAATTTGTAAAATATTATTAAAACATAATACAAATCTCTGCTGATATTATTCGTATTTTAAACGGATACAATTATTATGATAACTTAGTTTCATTTTTCGATTATTGCTTGTTAAATTATTATCTCCAGAATTTTATACATTGATAAAAAAAAAGACAAAATCGGTTATAACACTTTTGAAACTGCTCATGCATTGGCCTTTGCTAGTGTACGAGTATTGTAGGGATTTACTTCGTTTTGTAACTGCAGTGCTATTAACCAACGACACTCGATTGTTTAATTAAAAATAAGATTTGAATTAAAACGTTAAAACGTCTATTTTGAAGTGGACTTCAACATTTTACAAGTGGTAAACTCATATATTGTGTTTGTGTGTGTGTTTATTTCACCGTTCGGTGATATATTTTTCTTATTTTTTTAAATCCAGAAACACTATTAAGTTAAATGCGGCAAAAGATGATTTATCCTCGTCGAAGACCCGAGGTAAAAGCGTTTTTCTTTTTTTTCAACTTGACGTTAATAATATAGTCGCCGTAATAGTCGTAATAATATAAGCACGAGGTAAACTATGATGATTATTGTTAAACGTTTTCAAAATCGTCTATAAAAACCCTTCGAAATACTACGAACAAAGAATTCGACTATGTACAAGAAATACTAGCGCGACCGTTTTTTATACATTTTTTGCGGAAAGAAAGACGGAGAAGCCGAGGGTTTTATTCGGGTCGGTTATTTTAATAGTACTTATAGTGCACTCTGGCGATGATTTTTCTCTTAAATAGGACGCGATACCGATGATTTTATGGTGAAAATACGTTTGAATGACATAGACGTTAGTACGTTGTTTTTATAAAATGTTTTATACGGGTAGGTTTTTCAAAATATTAATCAGAAAAATTGATACGGAAATTTGAAAAAGTTAAAAAAAAAGAAAATATATTTTTGCATTTGAAAATACTGTCGTGAAAATTCCAAAGTGCACATTTTAACGAGAATTACAAACAATACCTTTTTGAGACATTAAATATAAATTCAAATTTTTCTCGAAAATTAAGCTAATTGCACTGTATTGTGTCTGTTGACCAGACGAACTAAATTTTGTTGGCGGATTGAACTTTATAAACTTCACTATGTTGGTGTGTTGTATAGCTTTAAACAGTTCTGTTTACTACCTAAATAAAGTCAGGGGGATACAATTTTGTGTATGCTCAGTGAATCAAGGATGTGTCTTTTGGGCGTTTCAACTTTGAACACCCACCCATGCCATTTTTATGTTCAAATTTCACCATTTTTCGGGATGTAGTAATACACGTATATTTTAGTACCTACTTGTATATTGTATTATACAAACTGGCTGTCCCGCTCGGCGTTGCCCATGCTATACGAAATAACAGAAAAATTATACCACCCTTATCACCAAGATACCTAACCCATAAACCAACATTAATAATAGTTAAATTTTCGTACTAAAAATACCATTAACCCCGCGTCACTCCTCTTTTAGGTTTTGAATACGGAAGGACAATGAGGTTTATACGTATTGCTAATCTAGAACCGCATTTATGCAAAGTTTCAGCTCAACCCGTTCAGTAGTTTGGGTAAGAAGCGCTGTAACAAACATAATATTAAACATCCGTCCAAACCAGGGGTTCCCAAACTTTTTTCCCCCGTACACCACTTGCCAATTTATTCTATTTTTCGTCGACTCCTCCGATATAATTTATTACCCCTATTTACATCTCAAGCAACCACAAATTTGTTTTCGATAAAATTGTCCCCTTTCAGGCCAGCATAACCCATTCGTGAGGGGGCCCCCTTATATTGACCCTTTTGAGAACCTCAGGTAGTCAGGTCCCAGCAAGCTACCGACCGCATAGACATTTTATAACATTAGCAGTTGGATTGGGTTATCCGTGTTTTACCGTTTGACAAACCGCGTGTCAATGTAGCAATACAAAATAGATGGGGGACGGAAATTCGGCCCTAACGGCTCGATCCCTGCTGCAGTGGCGGCCGCTCACGGGCGTTTCGGTTCGTTGGTTAGAGAATCGCCTACGCGCGACCCCCTTAAATTCCGTACTTTTCGCGGTTCGCCCCATTATTGTTGTTGTTGTTGTTGTTGTATTTTGTTTCGCCGGTACGTAATCGATTTTCGTTTTTGTTCGGAAACGCGCGAAACTGCGTATAATAATAATGATAATGATAATGGTATGCGCCGGCGGCGGCGCGTATAACGTTGTGACGAAAACGTAAGAAGCGCAATACGGTTACGGGCGGACGCCCGCCCCCCCCCCCCCCCCCCCCCCCCCCCCCCCCCCNCCCCCCCGTCGTCGACGCAACATGACAATAATATAAAAACCGATACGGCAAAAACGCGCGCGCGCTCCGGCCGTCTGCCGGCGACGTCGCCGCGACAAGAGGACTCGATATAATAAACTGCGTCGGTCGCCCCCGTGCACAACGTACACGCCACAGCGCGTCACATATTTGTATCGTTATAAATATTACGAAAACGGGATTCCGCCGGGACAGACCTCTTTGCCGCTCGTAGGCGTTAATGTATTCCGAAGTCATAAACTGACTTATGAGCGTGGTCTTGCCCACGCCCCTCGAGCCCGTCAGTGACACGGTGTACGAGGAGATGTCGTCGCAGTCGTCGGCGTTCTGTTGATGGCGCGCGCTGCCGCGGTGCTGCTGGTGCTGCTGCGGCTGATGGCGCGGCCGTTGTTGGTACTGCTGGTGCTGATGCTGCAGTTCCTGCTGTTGTTGGTGATCGTGGGCCACCGGCGGTGTGCGTTCCTTGGCGTCGTCTTCCCGGGCCAGGCTGTTGCTCCTCGACCGGCGTTTCCTGAACGAGTCGCCTCTGTTGACGATACCTGCGGGACACGTCGGTAAACGCGGCGAATATTAATTCGATATCTAAACGCTTCCCGCGACGGAAAGTCATCGCTGTCGGTTTCTCCCGCCCCGCGTCCTCGATATAGTTAAAAAAAATAAAAAAAAAAAAAATAAACGAACAATAAAAAAACAAATCTATTTAGACGCGCACCTATATACACGAACGGATATTTTTTACGCGTCAAAAGTCGGGAAATTAAAAAAAAAAATAAAATAAAATAAAAGCCCCTTCGAAAAACGAACATTTCTAATGAAACGACAGCGGCGTCGGCGAGAAGTTATGATGAGTTTCTTTTTTTCTGTTATCGCCCGGGCTCGTAATAATATTTCTACGTCAATCAAACGGCATTCTATCGAACGGGCGCATTTTATTCCATCCCGGACCGTCATTCGAACAATGTAGTAAAGATAATTTTAAATCCAAAACCGAGTCTTTCGAAATACCAGTTTCGATTACGATAATATTATTCACCTTTCGATGTGAAACTGAACGACCTGAGCCGGTACGAGTTCTCTGGATCTTCGGGTTCGGCCGGTTTTTTAACGTCGGCCGGCGGCACGTCCAAAAACGCTCCGGATTTCCTGTGGTTTAAGTTTATTTTCCTGGAAGACGGTTTCCGTTTGAACATCGCTCCGTCTGAAACACACGAACATTATATTTTTAAACCGTTATTCATATACAAATAACAAACACACACACGCATACAGACATAATATTATTTATCATCGCACACACGATTAAATAAAATAGAATCTTAGCTGCGACGGATCAATGGTAGGGCATTTTGCCAGCCTGCAGAGAGCCACTCCAGAGGCGCGTCTATATATAAAATCACGATCCTTTGCAGTCGATGACGACTGGCTGTTATTTAGTCATGGTGCATATAGTGTCGTCGTTTTCGTGTAATTCGGTTCTTCATACGCACCGAACCACACACGCACATACACATACACTCACAAATGATACGGAAGAGGATACGACTGTGATGCGAGCTAGACGGACAAAAACACGCGCTCTATATTTACACATCGTATAGAATGATATTTTAAGTACTTGGATTTTTTTTTCTTTACAAAAGATAGAAGCATTTGAAACGTGGTATTAGAAAGAAATATTGAAAATTTCTCGGACTGAACAAATTATTAAGATCGAATGAATGAATCGAAATCAAAATAGAGAACCGAATAGGAGTAAACTCGGATAAAGACATTTAGAGGCCTCCAGGATCAAACTTTTCAACGAGTCTCTCAACAAATAAAACGAATTGTTACTTCACAGTATATTTAAAAAAAAAAGATTAATTCAAGCATTATTTAGATTAACATACGTATATTTTTATAAAAAAAACTTAAACTAACTATAGTTTTTTCATTAAAGGTCAACGACAAAAAATATTAAAAAGTAATAATATATCAAAATACAAAAAAAACATGGGTGCAGCCACTGTTGTAGGTGGGTAATTGGGAAGATAGGCTATAAACGGGAATTTAATATATATCTGTAAGCAACGATAAACCATTGCTAACGAAAAAACGATTCTGAGCCGAGTTCAGTTGATAATGTTGCTTTGCGAACAATATAATATATGGTATTATGTCATATGATGGTAAAACTACAACAATGATAGTTTAAAAATTATTATTAAAATAATAAAAACTTAATAATAACAAAATACAAATAAAAACGGTTGCCAATGACAACCTTATTTTTAATCTTTCAATCTTTGTTAACCTATAGACCGAAGTTTTCTCATTATCTCTAATATTAATGAGAATTGAAAAAAAATTACCTTTTTAAAGTAGTACCACCCCGAGAACATTCCCCTTTAGAAAAGGTATTATACTTGATATTCGGATTATGCTTTCTGGTAGAAAAAGTGTTCATATAAAAAAATAAAATAAACATCATTGCGAAACCAATTCATTCCTCGTTTCACTCAGAATCTAAAATTAATAATAATTAAATTTTGGAAAAAAAAAAGGGTCCTTGGAGTCTTAGGCCCTGGGACATTACCCCTTTGACTCCTTTCCTCCCACAATCCGGGCTCGGATAGGAAGAATGAATACAGATTGTAAATCCAATGGAAAACTATGCGTGGATCATGACTAAATAAACAGGCATCATCGCTAATCCATTTTCTCCGGATTTGGCAGAAACAATACACTATAACCCAATGAAAAATAATTTTTATTCCAAATCTAGAAAGCAATAATTTTTAGGCTAGCGACCACGTCTGTTTTATTTGGTCAAGGCGAGAATAACAATAATAATTGAATAACGAAAGAGTAGACCGACAGCCAATGATTCATATCAAACGCATCACAGGAGATATATTGTATGGAAATAACTTGTATATAATATGGTCACACTGTATACACGATATGTACTATAAAATATAAATATACACGCATAAATGTGGTGATCGCGATCGGACGGACGTTCGGATATCCGTGTACGAAAGACAAATTCAAAATGTGTAGTTGCCAAATCGTCTATTTTCGTACATCGCGCGCGTTCTGTTTTTTTCCCGGTCGGGGCATCGGATCAAACGTGGCGTTTGATTGATTTGTTTTCGCGTGCGATCTTAAGCGAAAACGAATAATACTCGTATATTGGATTTCACTAAACGCCGAATAGCATTTCGGTTACCATCACAGTCACGATATTCATAAATCACTCTATAATGCGTATCATCGCTTTCGACTTCTCTTCTTAAACGGTGACTCACCCATCGGATAGTATTCGTCTTTATTTTAGATTCTGAGTGGAGCGAAGAAGCTTATGGTTTTACAATGATGTTTATTTTTTTTTCTCTAGACAACTTTTCTACCAGCAATTTCGCTCCGATTTACATTGATAGCACTTTTTCTAAAATAAAATCTGACCGGTAAGGTACTTTTAAAAGGCCATTTTTCGATTTTCTCGGGAGTTTTTCCAACAAATTATAAAAACCGGAAAAACAGGTATAATATTAAATAAATATTATTGAAGGAAATATAAAATGTATGTGCAATTATTTTACTATAATATGACGTATATACTGTTGACAAAGTAACACTATCAGCCGAACTCCGCTTGGAATCGTTTTTTCGTTAGCAATGGTTCATCGTTGCTTACGGATATACATTAAATTTCAACTCTAATACCTTTCCAATTTTTCACCTATTTTCTTTTTAACTTCGTGCACGGTGGCGCGTTTGTACATTATTCTCCGGGCGTCCCTGTCGTCTATAATATAATATACAACATCCTACATTATACACATGATATGTTATTATTAGGTGTTGGTGAAATACGAAATGCGTATTACGTCGTACTGTACGGAATCAACGTCACTGCATTTTTCGGTGCATCGATACTATGCAGGACATTGTAATAATAATATGCTTTCGTATAGATTTTGGCTGCATTGACGTCGTGTTATTACGGGCGGGGCGAGGGGAGGTGAAGGAGAAGGGGAACAACAACCGTTGTCGACGAATTTCTGGCACGTTCCCATTATAAATATACCTACTCTTCTTATACTGGATGCGACACCGGTCATGTTTCTGTTAATCACCGGCGCACGTCGTATAGGCCGGCACTACCCGATGGTCCAAAACTATATAAGAATTAATTGGACTTTTTATTTTTTTTTTTTTTTTTTTTCTATCAATTTCGGGTTGTCGCCGCTACAGCAGCCGGCCAGAAACGACAAATGTCTTTTCGTTTTTTTTTTAATTTTATTTATAGAGGAGCAAAGTTTTAGTAAAAACTAAAGAGCACAAAACACTCACGTCGTAATATGTAATGAGTGACATCGGTCCGTCCGACCGTCCATCGCGTTCGTTCGTTCGTACACGCGCGCGATGTATAATAAAGTTTGTGAAACAAAAAAAAAAAAAAAAAACTGTTTTTCTATAATTTCCTGCGACAAATATAATCTACGAATGACGAAAAAAAAAATAGGTAGGTACGTGATGTTTATTCGATTTTACACACCATCCGTTGTCCAATCAAAGCGTGCGCCGCGCAGTAAAACCAATATTGACAACTGGCAACGGTACAGAGAAAACAGAACGCGAACGACGGCGGGTTTTTAGTGTGCAAAAGCCGCGCGGAAACACATAAAACACGCGCGCACGCATCATAATGGAAATAATAAAATTATATTTTTAGATTGTAATTTTTAAACGCGAGAAAACAAATACGAACGGGATAAACATATATTTTATATTCAATATTTGCAATAACGGTTTGAACAACGTAGACGCGCGATAAAGTTAAAACGTCTGCAGACGCGCGAAAACCGAAATCGCCGCCGGAGCGCGCAGCCGCGCGCGCACATACGACTGCTACGCTAATCGATGTTACGGTTTTGTTTTTATTATTATTATTTTTTTTTATTCATTTTTACGGTTATCGTCATACAACACTATAATATAATATCGTTAATTTGTTACGGTTTGGACGTGGCCCAGACCGAGTCGAGTTTTTGTTATTTTATTTTTATTTTTGTCGATTCGAAACGCACCGCCGCTGTCGGCGTTATTTATCGCCGACGATGACGCACGATAACGCGTACTTGTGCTCGTGCTATCACGTGAGTTCGCCATCGCGCCGACGAAAACGAGCCCGCGGACGGAAACTGTTCCCCGCCCCGTCCGGACCCGATGAATTCGAGGGCGTGCGTGAAAAAAAGCGTCGGTCGCCCGATTGTGAAAAACCAGTGGAAAGGTCTCCATTTTTCGCGCGTAAAATTTGCCCGGTCGATTTTTCAAAAACATCGAAAGTGTCGTTTCGATTCGCGCGTTGAACGAGATATAAGAGAGCCGCGTTTTCCCCGCGTTTCGTGCATTTACGTCGGTTAACGCACGCTTTCAGTGCGAAAAGTCAAGTCACATTCACCCACGCAATATGTTTTCTGAATCCGGTTGTCAAGTCAAGCCGCAGAAACAATTATTTAGATCAATGTGCGTACAATGAGTTGAATGGCTATTTATTTTTAAAATTTAGCCGAATTTCAAACATTAAAATGTGAAAATTATGTTCAACGATACAAAACGACACACGGAATCCGACGGTATAGTTACGTTACACGCAAAACGTTAAAATGATTGATCTTGCGTTTTCAATTAAAGTTTATTTTCGCTCGACTGTAATGTTCTGAATTATGAATCGGTACGCGTTGTTGCGTCCCTGTATGCCATACGGCTCCGGGTTAAAACGTCCAGTAGTCGAAATGGAGCTCGACAAACGAGGCCAAGTAAATTTAAGTCTAAAACCGAATGGCCAGTGAACGAAATATCCAAGTACTTTTTGTGTCCAAAACATCGATGTTCGAAAAAAAAAAAAAAATAAAAAAATAAGGCACGAAATGTAGACTATGATGTCCAAATTATCACAACAACTTCGAACTGTATAGATTGCAGTTATTATGAATGAAGAACTATGTATATAAGATGCACAGTTATGGTGTACATATTTAAGCTATGATAAAATTGATGACTAAAAAACTAATTGATAAATAACTGCGTATTAGATAAGCGTTAAAAAATAAATACATTTGTTTTCGGACGTGTACATTTTTAATCATTTTATAAGTTGGTTCTTCGGACATTTCGCCTTCTGGGCATTTTAACTGAGTAAACCGCACTACAGTGTAGTGCACAGTATTAATGATACCCAACTATAAACTCGAGAAATTGTATTATATTTCTGTTTTATAACTCCGGGTGCACTCTCTCGCGGTGTCAACTTATTGTCGTGCTCGAGTCGGTTATTATATCTATACACAGGTACTACACGGCGAACCGTTTAAACTTTGAAGTGCGTCTTAATAGACTCCATTGTGGCGGCGTGAGTTTACTGACTCCACTTGTTCGGGATTTTGTACACCGCGTTTATTTTGGTATATTATCTGCCGAGTATAAAGGTACCGTCACACGGCTGTTTCGAGTGGCTTTTGAAGCTATCACTGGGTTCGATAAAGTTGGCCGCGGAGAAAAAGCCAATCGGCTTCTTAATAAAATTATATCATTTCGTTGTTTTATTTTCGCACTATTCTGTTCTATAATTTTGTAAAAATAAAAAAAAAAACCCGTTATGGAAAAATCGATTTTGAAGGTGTTTCTATGGACGGCGATTGTCCGTCGTCTTTGTCCGACGCATAGAAATATGCTCTCGACCAAACGACATTTTGATATTTTGGCCGGAACGATTTAGATTCTTTGAAAACTTTATAATCGTTTGACATCTAGTCTAGAGATTAATCCAGGCATTTTCTGGAATTTGCATTTTCACTTAAAATATACTAAATTTAAAGATTGTGAAAAAAAAATGTTGTCGGTAAAAAGGCCTAGTTTAATTTTCTAGAATAGAAGTGTCAAATAATCATATAATAATATATGGTTTTACAGAATGGATACCGGACTCGCATCGGAATGCATTTTCATGTTACGCTTCGCGTTTAGAAATATTAGAAATATTTAGTACGGTATCGTCGTTATCCTATTTTACAAATACGTTTCTATCCGAAATGTTCGTACATAGGTTCGGTATTGTAATTCGATAATGTTCGTGCAAATTAAATTTCCCAAATTTTCGTGCGACGAAGCGAGAACAATAGTATGGCAAAAGGAAAAAAAAAAGTCGTTTAAAACGTTACAAACGTATTAACGTCTGTGTACAAGTAACAGAATTCTCGCCGTTCTCGGTCTTGTAAGCCGTTCTAAATAAATCCTTTTGAAAGAGAGAGAGAAAAAAAAAAGCTTTTAGTCGTCGCGTATTATAATATTAACGTCGTCGTGACGTCGCGTCACATTGGCCTTAGAACAAAGAGCTCTTTTCGCCGGCGACGACGAGGCGGTTCCTGTCCTCTGCACTGCAGCGTATCCGCGAGTGCGATAATGTTTTACCTATCGTCGTTATTGTATTCGACGAAAAAAACAAAACGAGAAATGCCGTAATGCAAGTACAGAAATAAAAACGTTTTTTGCGTGCCAAAAATTAGTCTCGAGTGTAAAAAAATAGAAACAAAAAAACACCCCCGCGACTTTTTAAGTGCCGCGATCGAAAACCGGATTAGCCGCGCGATAATGCGTAAGCACGTACCGAAGTATAACATTACCTAATACGCGCTATATTGCGCGCGTCGCTATTCGCCGGCTTTGGACAATACGAACGAATTATTAAAAAAAAAAAAAAAACCGAACGGACGTTTTTCCCGTCCGGTGGACCGCGAAAAAACTTTTGTATAATTTTCGGGGAGGAAAAAAAAAAATAGGTCCGTCGCCGCTTATCGGTAGCGTTTAATCGAAAAAACCCGCCGTTATAATATCACGTCGTACCGCCGGGTCTCGCACTACCCCCCCCCCCTTCCCCCCCGTCGGCGTTTATGTTGTACGCCGCGAAAACCGTCTCCCCCATCTCACTCCTCGCGCTCTCTCGCTCTCGCTCTCTCTCTCTCTCTCTCTCTCTCTCTCTCTCTCTCTCTGTCCGCGCGCGCGGCCGAGCGCGTCGCCGGTGCAGCGCAACAGGCGTTTTCCGAAACGGATTTTGGCGAAACCCGGCACGTTTTGCAATGTTCCCGTCGCTATCGCGGCGTTTCCCCGTTTCCGAGGGGGCCCCGGGTTTCGGAACGCCGGGCCGATAAACGCGGGCGCGCGCGACCGCGCGAAACGTTGCGTCGCGCTTTACGCGGCGACCGCTCTCGTACCGGCCGGCACACCGCGGCGTCCCTCGCCGCCGCGCCGCCGCGGCCGGCGCGTTTTACATACTCGCCGGCGGAAATAGAATATTTTATCGCCGCCGCCGTACGTCCTGTGGTGCACGAAATCGTTTTTCCGCCGACTGATTTCGCAGGGCCCGCTGCCAGAGTTTTTCGGCCGGCCGCCGCGCTGTCACGCAGCCGCGACGTCTCGCGCACGCCGCACGCGTGTCGCACATACGAGTGTACGCGCGGGACGATTGGGACCGAGCGCGCCCGACCGCGATTTCTTTCGATAGGGTTTCGCGTTACGCGCGTTCGAATTCTGATTTTCCGGGACTTTCCGGTGTCCCTAGCCACCTACCCACCTATCCGACTATGAATGTATTCCATGGAGGTCATTTTTCGGTTTCCCAAGAGTTCATCCAGCACATGTGACGAACATGGGAAAACTGGGGAAAACTCGGGAAAAACGGGAAAATTATACTATGACAATATGACATATTATTGATAAAGCATCACTATTCACTGAACTCCACTCAGAATCGTTTTTTCGTTAGCAGAGGTTTATTGTTGCTCACAGACATACATTAAATTCGCTTCTGTATCCTACCTTCCCAACTCCTCAACTATAACAGTGGCTGCACCCACTTGCGAAGTATGTCAATTTTTTTTCTTTTTTATAAACCCCTTGGTTTTTGACAGATGGACGCTCTTGTGTCTCAGTCAAACTATAACGGACAATACAACAAAATCTACTTTCCGCAGACCACGTAGAACTCGTATAATTTCACTAATAAAATTAAAAGAGGATATTATTCGTGGTGGGGGGGGGGAGCAGACGACACGCTTCTTTTTAAATTCATTTTTTTTTTTAAATATTACAGTAATTTCAAACCGATAAATTAGTTTATAATTCCAAACGATGTATTGAACGCTGTATCCGGAATAATAATTAGAAAAATAGGAAACACGCATCGGTCATGCCTAGGGTTGCCACCACTCAGGGTTTCACCCGAATACTCCGGTTTTACATATAAATCTTCGGGCTACGGAGTACGGGTTTAGAAATTATTCTCCGGGTCGTCGTAAAATCAATACTATTCATATAATTGTATACAGTTTGTCGATAAGCAACGAGAACACTATTTTTCATTCGCCAAAATACGAGATAAAATACGATTTATCGACTATTGGTTTATACGTTCAATTTATACATAAGCGTATTGGTACAGACACGATAATTTTTTGTTAACGACCTTTACTTTTTTAGTCGTACCCTCCGGAATATTGTCCTTTTTCAATTTTATAGTAAATGATTTTACTCTGAAACGAAAATTAAGCGAATGCTAAACCTAAACAATTGCGGATATAACGTCCTCTTAAGAATTCCAGAAACACACGGAGTATTAGTTTAAATACATTTTGGTGTTAACATTTTTGAATTTCCGTCAACCCGTCAACGAAATATTCCACTTTTAAGTTTAGTTAGGGGAGAGTAGTGGAGTAAAATATGGGGCGAGCACGTTTAATGAATCGTTCTGTATACGTATCGTGCGGTATGTGATACTATTATTATTATTATTATTATTATTATTGTAGTCGAGCGAGCTGTTTTAAATGACAATGCTGCAGTAATTTCCCAACCCGTCCACCGTCGCCACAATCTCGAAAACGATCGCGTCATTTGCGCCGCTCATCTATTCACTTAATAACATAATGTCAATTCGGTCGTAGACTAACGAAGTGACGGAAGAGTCGATCGATTATCGATAAGTCCAACAGTCAGAATCGTATAGTTTATCAGAATTACGTAAGAATATAAGTAATCGGTGGAGTGATCTTCGTACGTTCAAATTAAATATAGTCAGTACAAGCCATGTAATATATTACAGTGTAATATTATTAAGTATAGGTGTAATCAAATCACGAATAAAATGAGAAAATTATACGTAATTTTTTTTACAAATAAATATGGTAGGAAACTACCAAAAAAACTGGTAGGATGTGGAACCAAGATACAGGGATGGGTGATGAAATATTAACCAAAAAATATCGTCTGTTTTCCCAAGTTTGTGCCTGAGGGGAGCTTTTGGGGGTCTAACCGTCCCCCACGAAACATTTTCGTAATATATTATACTATATAAAATCGTTCACCTAACCTAACCAGAGTAGTACAGGTAAAACTACGAGGAAATCAAATAGTAAAACGAGTAGATGAATTTACATACCCGGAGAGCACAATCAGCAATGATGAAAGGAATAGGAGCGAAATAATAAAACGTATCTGTTAACCCAGAGTAGCCTTTAACAACAATAAAACACCACTTATATCAAGAAACATTAGTCTAAAAATATGGAAAAATCTATTGAAGACGCATGTATAGAGTATGAAATATGGCCCTATGTGGATGTGAAATCTGGGAAATATTAGTGAGAAAACGAAAAAGACTAGAGACGTTTGATATATGGTGCTATGGAAGAATGTCAAGGGCAAGTTGGATGGCCAGAATAACCAATGGGAAGGCGCTGAAAAGAATATCAGATGGAACGTTATTATGGAGAAATACTCGTATAGTTAGAATACGAAACGGTTTGTATAGATCGTATAATGCAACGCGAAGGAATGTTAAAACTGGTTGTGAAAGGAAGCGTAGAGGAAGAACCATATTGGGAGGCCGTGATTAGAGTATGTTCAACAGATAATAAAGGACCAAAGATGCAACTCGTATGTAGAAATTAAACGGTAAGCGGACAATAGAGAAGAACGGAAAAATATATAGCTGCAAAACCAATCTGCGGGTTGAAACCACGGAGATACGGTATTAGAATAAAAAATCAGAACACTATACATTTTCAATGGCTCACACCCTCTCTCACCCACCCTCCCTCTTTCCCTCCCCCCCCCAAAAAAACTATTTTCCAGTTACGGCCTCAGCGCAGGCCTCGTAAACGCGTCACCGAAGTGTCAAATACGAGTTATACTTAAAAAACGAACTGTGAATTATTTCGGGACGGTCGTTTGGATTAGAGGTTTACGTACCTTGGGCCGACGATTCGTGCAACCTCGGGTCGCTGCAGCCGCTACTGCGTACGCTCGTTCTGCTGTCGCTGAGCTGTTCATATTGGGCGCCCACGGCCGCGGCCACCAGAGCTTTCTTCCTGATGGAACGACCGCCGCTCGTCCGGGCGCTCTGGGACCGGGCGGCCGGACGGCGGCGCTTGTTGTCTTCGGCGGCTGCCGCGGCGGCCGCGCCCGTGACGTGCCGGTGTGGCGGCGGCGTGGACGCGGCAGCCGCGGCGCAGGCCATCAGGTGTTCCGTGCTGCCTGGCGGGAAGCCGAACGTGCATATGGACGCGGACCGGCCCTTGTTGTACATCATGGCCTCCATGTCTCAGACAGTGTGCGGTCGCCGTCAGCTGTCTTTGTAGCCGTACGATTACACTCGCAGTCCTAAACGTCTGCAAAACCAAAGATTTCGGTCAGAACAAATGGTATTTCGCGTATGTATTGTTTTCGATATTATAACGTCGGTTTTCTTTCATTTGAGACCCCAGTCGTTTCACACGGTAAATGTTACAGCGATTTAGAGGCAAAAAGACTTTTCGACAAATGGAGGTTTTTTTTTTTTTTTGTATTATTATGTGCGAAAATTCTCGAGTCCACAACCCCTACAGTGTCGTGCTCAGCACTTTCGTACGGGGCGGGTAGATTTGATTGTAACTAGTTATAGGTGTCATTAAAGATAAATTCACGTAGAAATTTGTACAATAATCGGTTCAACATTTCTTCGAACAAAGTAATGTGGGGGCGATTAGGTACTCTCACTCCCTCCCCCTCCCGCCATAGACATATCATTGATTACGTGTGACGTACGGCATGTTTGTTGCAAGAAACGGCATTTACGACATCGTTTACAACTTACAACTCTGGAGTTTTTGTCATCCGGATCCGAATATAATAATACAATCTGGATAGTAGTCTGGGTGGAAAAAAACGTTTCACTACCAATCGTACCGGTCGATTTACAGTATCGACGATTTATACCGTCCGACGACGACACAGTGTCTAAAATGTTACAAATCGTTTTTTTTCCCCGTTCCTTTTAAATATACTTTTAGATTCGTTGTGTATATATTATATACCTATACTATCAACTACTGCTGTAAAATATATTTTTTATACCGAGTCAACTTTTGAGAGTTATAATATAAATGAGTATTTCAAAATGGAAACGGATAAAAAATGTGTTTTTAGAATATCGTGCCCAACAGACGAGACATTTTAAAGATAATGTTTTCTCGTATTTCGATCATTGCAAGGAAATACGAGTATTAACAACATGTCATTTCGCGATCAATTATTATCCTGAAAAATAATGAATAATAGTCGCAGTTTTTTTTTTTTTTGTCGATGTGCGATAAATCGAGAAAACGACGAAAAAAAACGTCAAGACGTTAAAATTACGCCGCATATAAGAAAAAAATGGACCAAAATCACGACGTACCGAATAATGCAAAACAGTAATATTATTATTCTTTGAGAGAAAGACGTTGAAAAATATACTAACCCGTCAGAAATGAAATTACTGGAAAACACGATAGGGAAAATATACATCGATTAGAAAAGCATTGTCTTCTAAATCCTAATATAAAGTGTTTATTAAAATACAAGTGACTGGATTGATAGAAATATGTATCAATGGTTAACTGACGAAAAAATTGTTCTACTTATTTACTTTGGTATACTTCGAAATCTACTGGCAAACCAGTTGTTACCGATTTACTGTGTAATAAGATTTACGAGGTGATAGCGGTAAACCAAACAACCGGTAAACGCCCCCGAGGAACCGAAAGTCGGAAACGGTGGTCAGTTCGAGTGAATGAAAACTTTACTGAAGATACTGTTCATTTGTAGGCCACTTTATTGGCGGGTAATTAGGAAGGTTGGATGCACAAGGTCGGTAATTTTAGTTTATGAACTATATGCAACGATAAATTACTGTAAGAAAAAAAAAACGATTCTGAACGGAGTAGTATTAGTCGAAGTGTTTTGCCCCGTAGCCAAGGTAACTTAGAAATCGAAAAAATTCAAAATCGATGTACCGTCATTTGTTAGTTATTTAAATGTTTCTAATAAAACCGTCGGGAATCTAGGAACACGTTTAAAATAAAGAACTATCGGGTGAAAAGTCCGCGCCGCTCCGGGGTACATTCGGTACGGTAATTCGGAGCGTTTTCTTAACCAAAAAGTGTTCAGCAATAACACACGATATGCGATTTTTCCGGAAAGAAAATATTAGCAATGTCGCGAAAAGCTCGTCTCGAATCAATTATCAAACGCGACGAAAAAGACGCGCGCCGTTAAGTGTACGAAACTGACAACGCGGTATCGGCGAAAAAGCGTTTTCCGAGTAGCGAAAAAAAAAAAAGCGCGGCGCGCAATAGGACTGTGGCCGTTTCTCTGCAGTTATCGCCGCTCCGAGCAATCCGCAAAAGCATAACCGGATGACGCACAATGAATCACGGCCGCTGGGCGGAGGGACTTAGCGCGGTAAAGCCGCACGTGAGGCTGGACGAGAAGAAAAAAAAACAAAACGGAGGGAGGGGGGAAACATAAAAAAAAAAAAACAAGCAACATCCAAATGCAAAAGTATTGCGAACGACACGCGGATTAGACTTGTGGCGGCCCCGCCGGAATAAACGGCAAACATAAACGTTTCGGAACGCGCGAGCGCGGACGAAATATAATTTACGGACGTTTGACAATTTCGGCGGTTCGCGCCCGAGGGACGTCTCGTATCCGTCGTCGTCGTCGTCGTTGTTGTTGTTACTGTTACTGTTATTATTTGACCGTCGTTATTTCCTTATCGCGAACCCCGCGCACGTCCCGGGCGCGGGCCTGCCGCGGACGCGCGAAAACGCCGTGAACGAATTAATTAATCGATTAATTATCATCGCGTTATTATTATTATTACGTCGTTTCGCGGCGCGTTTGCCGAGCCAAAATACTATTCCAACCGTACCGCGCAATCGCTACACATAACGTTCCGCGCGTACGACGGACGGCCACATTGTGCACGTGTTTATTCGGCGTCTGACGAACGGCCCCACACTTGCGCGGCCGTCCGAACGAAAAAGAAAACAACCGGCCGGCCCCGTGCCAAACGTCTTTGCCGCACTGAAATTCCGTATTGTTGTCCGTTTCGATTTATTCGCGTCGATATTACGCGCGACGGCGTGAACCGTGGACGCGACGTTACTGTGCGCTGCGAGATAACCGTGCCGGGAACAGGGGCCGTGCGTAGGGATTCGTCACTCTGGGAAAACAACAACAACAACAACAACAACAAAACAAAAATCGCGACTGTGTGCGCCTGTCTCTCCGCCACCAACCACTCCTCTGTCCTCTATTATTTAAAAACTAAAGCCGTCCCCTAAATTCGGCCGCCCGAGAACCGTGGTCGTTTTAAATATTATCTGTTGTTATTGGTCGATTCGAAACACAACATGTTATGTGCGCGCGAGAGAAGGGGAGTGAGAGAAGCGTCCTGATAAGACGCAATTTTTTCACGCCAGAACAAAGTGTTTGTACGGGGGTTTTTTTTTTCGCGTCATAATTAATCGTGCAAGAATACTGAAAATACGGCCGCGCGACCGTAAAAAAAAAAAATCAACGTGCAAGTCGGTTTTTCACATTGACGTGCAATTTTCGCATTCACGAGACGCGATGACAGTTTTGCTCACAGTTTTACACGGTTTTCAACACTCAGTGCGCACTGCAACATAAAATCATCGAGTGATGTTCGTCTATTATTTTTTCTAATTTTTCTATAGGTATTATTGCTCTATGACGTTAATTATAATTATTGAAATCAATAATCGTTAATTATTTCCATAAATGTCGTGTTGATGGTTAAGTTCGCAGTACCCATTTGTTATTGTAGCTGTGGTTGTATCTGTGTTATAGTTATGCAGTAGACGAAGTTCACATGTATTAACTGAAGTGAAACGGCGATTAGATTTTACACTATAACCTATAAGACTATAAGTGACATGTATTTAAACATTTGTTTTTAAATGATTTTAAAATAGGTAATTTAATTTGATACGCAGTTTTGTCGGCGTTAAAGCGTATAGTTTTTTTTTTTTTTTCTTATATATAAAATTAAACTTTTCTTCAATATTTTCAATGTTTAATTAGGTTTATTAAGAAACAAAAGTCATGTACGTACTAAGGAACGCGCAGTCACCAAATTTCGCACTGTAAATTGCAGTACAATTGATTTTCTATAGATTCATTTTTCGGACCCCCCCTCACCCGTTGAATAGATCCTGGTTGCGCCGCTGGTATCGTGTTCTATTCGTACTGTTCTTTGTTCGCGATTTTATGATCACATAGTATCTATTTGTCTATGATATAAACCGCGTATTCGAACGCCGTACGTGTTTACACATGTATACAAAATATATTTTAGGTTATATTATTGTGTAAATAGCTTTTTGCACGTCATAAAAACCGCGCGTATGTGATTTATCGTAAACAAGGTTTCGGTTTCCCCCCTCCCCCCTCGGTTTCTGTTTAATTGCTCGAAATTTGTCATTGCGATTTTTCCGTATTATGGCCTGTATTTCAAATTCTGTTTACGCTTCATCGCGTTGTATGTTTACACTCGCGCGAACGTCTTGCGTCGAAATTCTATAAAAAGCATCGTATTTCGGTGTTGTTCGTTCGTCGTGTGATATTATGTGCGTACGAGTGTATAGTACAGTAGAAGCCGCGGGACCGAGGTGAAACGTGTCAATTAACCGATTGTTTCTAATAAACGATTGGTTTTAATATACGACCGTCCCTATATGCATTTTGTTTCCGTAACGCGACTGTATCAATTATCCGTGTTCCTAATTAGCGGCTTCTACTGTTGTTAAAAGTACTCAAAATTTATTGAATTTTAAACCGTACCCATTAACGGATTTCGATTTTTTTTTTTTTCAATTTAGACGAAACATCCGAAAAACATTATCGTTATTATTCAGAAACCGTGGCAGACGTTTTTCAACGATAAAATCATTTATTAAGAATACGCGTAGCGAAGAATCTTTTAAACGCTCCGCAACGTTTATTTCATCACTGTTTCTCGTTAAATGAAAGACCGTGTGATGCTATAGTATTTTTTTTTTTTTTTTTTTTTTTTTTTTATCTTTTTCTTATGAAACGGATTACGGAAATATTTTTTTACCCTCCGAACGTATAATATTTTAAGAAGTCAAAAATAAAATTAGTCGTTTGTCGGAAAAGAAATACGCATAACAACTACTTAGAGCGTAGACGCGCGCGTGATTAAAAATAACAAATCGCTTTTTAGATTTGTTTTTTTTTTTTTTTTTTGTACAATATTGTTGTCGGACGAAAAAGAAAAGTAATTTTTAGGAGTATAATAGACGCGTATTTACTATACAGCTCGTATTGGTTTTTAGTTAAACGTTAAGTCTAAAATATTATGTGCGTGTACAACTAACGTTGTTGGGAATTCAAACATTTTAAACGTTACACGTATATTAAAAACACGAAACGCAACGAATCGTAAAATTAAATAATAATAACGCTGTGAATAATAATAATTGGAGTGAAAAAAAAAAAAATTACGGAAAAAACGACATGACTACACGCTAAAAGCACTTACCTATATTATTATATATCTGCTAAATCCATTTAGATTTGAAAACACAAACTTGAAACCAGTGCCAACTGACAATTACCGTTTTGCCTAAAACATTTGTACGTGACTGGTAAAATTGGCTATAGGTTGGAAAAAAAACTTATATCATCGTCATCCACGACGCCAAAAAAAAAAAAACAAAATAATTTCCGATGTAGGTAAATATTTTGTATGATATTATTATTTATTAATAAGAATTTGGGCGTCGTTTTTTTTTTTCGAGATTCCAAGTGAATCGGCGGGGAATGCATTGATTTTACATGCTTATGATGTTTGTTATTATTATTTTTTTTAAATTTATGAATAGTTATTCTACCAGAAATCTTGCTTCGATTTTCAAGTGTAGCACTTTTACACTATAAGGTACTTTTCCTGGGGTAGTACTTTAAACAGATCTTTTGATTTTAGGGGTTTTCATAATAAACGGGGAAAAACATAGGAAAACCGGGAAAACTTACAAAATATAATATTTTAAAAATTTTCAATATTTTTTTCAATATTTATTAAGACACCTAAAATTAACAAATAATAATTATTTATGATAATAGTACCTAGTTTTCTATATCTGCTATATATTTCAATATTCTTCTCTCCGTGTACAATATAATCACCCCATGCTCACAGGCCTGAGGCCACCACTGATAAAGTTGTTATTGCCCTGTTGAAACGGCGATTTTTCATGATAGTATTAATGTCACGGTAGTGAATTTTTACTATTTCGATACTCGATCTCGTAAACACCCGGAATGCGCATGTCAAAAACGTATAAATCAGGAAAAACCATGTACTATAGTTAAGACATTGTACTTTCCAAATTTGAATGGAATAAATTCCGATATCCTTTAGGGATGCCGCTACTGAACTCGGAGCAAGATTTCTAGTAGAAAAGTTGCGTATAAATAAAAAAAAAACAAAATAAATATTTTCGCTCCACGCAGAATCTAAAATCCAATAGGAAAAAACCTATAAAGTACAAATTTGGGCTCCAGGTTTGTACATTCCAGGTTTTACATTTTGATATTCGTAAATCCAAGATTAAAGATTTGTATTTTCCAGATTTTTACATTTCTGTTATGCATATTTAAGATTTGTATAGATACCCTTTTATGACTATGTGGACTTATTAATGCATTAATTTTTTCATTTCGAGTCTATAGCCCTGAGATGGTGACGAGAATATGTACAATAATGAATGTGTTCAATGACTTGATGTTTAAAAAGTCATATTATTATACTGCGTAACAGAGGACACGTGTTTGTAGATGACAATGGTATGAGCACTTAAATACCCTTCCGCGGGGTGGAGCAGTAGGGAGAGAGAGTGCGCGAAAATGGGTTTTTGGCAAAGACGCGAAGAATAACGTATACTTTTTTTGCTGACGGATAGACGAAAATTATTTGGCAAAAAGTTTTTAGGTTGAGGTTAAGTGTTTTTTGGGCGAAAAAAAAATCCCCATCGGCCTTGCCGAGTTTACGACACCGTGTCGGAAAAATAATTAAACGGGTAAATATTGTCGCTCGGCGAAGCGACGACCGCGACGTTTTGGTTTTTTAACTGCACAGACAGCACGTGTTTCGCGGTCATTTCGACGAAACGCCACGCAACGTATTGTAAATGCAACAACCGTGTACTTAGGTACTTAGGTTTAAAAATAATAACAAACATACGAGTATATACGGGTTGATACTGTTGATGTATGTACCACAATTTAAGGAGGGAAGTTTGAAGAGAGGATATATAGAGTAATTTAATTTGTGTCTGCACGCAAAGATGAACTCCTACTAACGAAAACCGATTCTGAGCAAAGTATTGTAAGTCGTATTCTTTCCATAATGCCAAAGTAACTTAAAAATCAACAACAATTATACCTACTAAAAATTGATAGTTGTTTTTTTGATTAAACAATTGAACATTTGATTGAAAACACGAGGAAAATTCAAAAGTGACCTCTTCAATGCATCAATTAGTTAACAAATGCTACGAGTATGTTCCAATACAACATTTGGTTGGAGCACGATTTCTGGTAGAAAAGTAGTGCATTATATTGATTTTACTATAAATAAAATCAATACATTTCTTGCTTCACTCGAAATTTTTAATTTTAGATTTCAATCAGGGAAGATGTACAATTTTTATATCATATCATGGTAAAAACAACGTTTTTCGTTACACCTGTAAATATGTTTGTGCACACCACGTATATTTTTCGACCCACGTGTAAAAAAACAAAAACTAATAATAATAAACTAATAAATTACACGCATCAAGTACACAGTGGTGTCGGACTCGATTTATTTCGTTAAAAAAAAAAAAAAAAAAAAATGAGTAAAAACTTTCTTTACGGACGATCAATCAAGCAAAAATCGGGAGTGTGTAAAAACCATTTATCAGCTAGACGTGCGTAAATTATGTATAAGGGGTTGGAGTCGTACATAACACAATATTAATTGGATAAAATTATTACTATTTTATTTTTTCGACATTTTATTAGAAAAATAAAAACGCCGGTCATAAGCAACAGTTGTGTTGCCGTGTCGCTGTCGGGCACAAACTTCGTTGAGCGAGTGTACGCGCATCTTTACGAAACGATATAAAAATCCAGCGGGGTCGTTTAAATATTTGGTAGACTGTAGCAAAAATTAAACAAATGCTCTGATTGATATAAGTCATTTACTCTCTCACCTCCAAAACAAAACAAAAAAAAAAAAAAACCGCTTTCATCTAATAATTGTTGTTTCAGATTTTAGTACTTCCAAAGAAATACGTTTTATTTAAAATTAAAAAAATCGTCGTTAAACGTGATCAAAATCGGTCGGAAAATGGTAAAATCAAAAATTTGATCTAGAAAACTATTGATATAGATAACAATTTGCGACACGAACAAATAGTATGAAATAATATGAAACATTTTTCGATATTTTGATACTTGTTTCAAGCTAGAAAACGACCAAACCGGCGATCTGTTCGGCAACAATAAAAGTTAGACTGGGATAAATGTCCAAGTGACATGCTTCTAAAATCATTAAATTGTAAAAATTGCTAAGTATATATTCACGTGATAGTTTTAAAACACTGTTTTCTGTGCACGGAGTCAACGGGTCGTAGTTCTAGAACTAGAAAAAAAAATCGTTATCATGCACCGGTTAAACGTCAACTTCTTTCGTCTACAACTTCTCTTAATGTGTTTTTGCACATCCGATCCAGGTCTGATTTTAGATTCGAAACGTAGCGAAAGATCTTTTGGTTTTACTATGATGTGTGCTTTTTATTTTCTGATTGTAAACAACTTTTCGAAAAAAAAATGTTACTACTCTAAAGTGTAACACTTTTACAGAAAGATAATTTTCTCTAGTTTGCATATTAAAAAGGTACTTTTTTGATTTTCTAAGACGTTTTCGAAATAATTGGATTAAACCAGAAATAAAATTATAAGTGATACGGCAAATATTTAAAGCGTTCCGCGGTGTTGTCGTTTTCATTGTTTTCAATGTTTGTTCATGATGTTTTTTTACCAGAAATATTGCTCCAGCAATATTCTAATCGAAAAATTACAGGATATCGATTTTTTTCTTTATAATTTATAAGTCCCCTTCTTTTATATATAAATTGTAATTCAGTTTACAATTTAATGGAAAAACTTGATATTTTGACAAAAAACTTATATTTGCTTTTTCTAGTCGTGGTAAAATGTTTAAAACATTTAAGTTATTTTTGAACATTTTATAAGCATTTTTATTTTACGTTTTTTTTACATAGTTTTTATTTGGTAGGGACTCTGTCCCTAAAAATACAATTTTTAGACTTGTTTTTCGTTAGCAACAGTTTATCGTTGTTTACAGGTATAAATTATATAACTTTTATTTATTCCACCTTTCATGCTACCCACCTACAACCATTACAACGCCCGTCCCCACTATATCAGTTCTTTTTACTATTGCACATATTATGAACTGTTTCCGGAGACTTTATTTAAAATCATACAATTTTCCCGGGAAAGCTTTCAAAACGAATGAACTCGGATCGGACGTTCGTGACGTACGAACGAGTACCTAATAAAGTTTATGGTGAATTTCATTCGGAAAAAAATACAGGTTAAAAAAAGATGGGCATACTTTGTACGATGAGTGAGCTATTGTTGTAGGTGAGAAGGTAAAAAGGTAGGATATTATAGAGAGGAATTTAATGTATATCTGTACGCAATGATTAATTATTGCTGACGAAAAACGATTCTGAGTGGGATTCGGTTATATATGGTTTGAAAGGCCTTAATATGTACGATGTTCGTCAAAATTTGATATTAATACTCTTAAGTACAAAAAAATCTACTATATTTTATTAGATTTTTTTTTTTCGATTACAAAGTACAACTTACCTCTTGATAAATTTTCAAGAATTTCTGTTTAGTTAAATAATTTCATCTACAGAGAACCTACTGAATAAAATTGACGTAAAAACCTCGTAAAATTGAGATGTCTATAAATACCTCGAAAATGACTAAAATGCTTTGAAAATTTTAGCACGTCAAGGCAAATATAAGTCGTTTGTCCAAATATCAAGTCTCTACGAATATTTTTAACCGAATCGCAATAAAAGAACAAAATTGAAAATAATATATTTCGTAAATTTTCCGGTTTTTCCTACGTTTTTTCCTGGTTTTTCCCAATTATTATAATTGCTTGGAAAATGAGAAAAAGACTTTTATAAATTACCAATAAGATAAAATTTACTTTCACAAAAGGTACTACACTTGAGAATCTAAGTGAGATTTCTGGTAGAAAAGTTATTCACAGATAAAAAAAAAAAAATAAAAATCATTGTAAAAACAATACATATCTCGTTTCGCTTATTACAATCTAAAAGGTACTTGTCATACTTGAGCGTTGACGGAGTGGCCATTGAAATAATTTCGCTTTAAATATAATTTTTGAATGCAATTTCCCATCAGAATTTAGTAAGTATTGAAGTTAGGAATATTTTTTTTATCGATTATCCGGTACAACTGGTAGTAGCAAAATTAAAATATGTTTGAATCACTATAGTAAAAACGTGTTCATGTTGCACGCATATTGCACACAATAGCTAATTAATGTATTTAGAGTCTAAGAATGGAAATGAACCACGTTAACTGTACATCTTATTGGGATGAAATTTCCCTTTTTCGAGTGAAATAAACATGTACCTCAGAGGCACACTACGAAAAAACGATGACACACGATGGATTTTAGTCAGACAAGGATTGAGTCATCTTTAATATTAGCGTAGCTTAGGGCTTTTCACAAATAATTAATATGTTAAGTTTTCCGTGCAAACTTGATGTGTCATGCCACATAAACCAAATTTTAAACGTACGTATGTATTTTAATGTTATTTAATTAATTAGTTTCAGTATAGAACGATTTCATACACTTACATGGTTAAAAAAAAAAAAAAAGAAAGGTAAGATAATGGGAACGGGTGCAGCTACTGATGTAGGTGATGTAGGTGGGAATTGGGAAGGTAGGACATAGACGGGAATTTAATGTATATCTGTAATCGACGATAAACCATTGCTTACGAAAAAACGATTATGAGCCGAGTTCAGTTGATAGTGATGCTTTGTCGACAACATACATGTCATATTATGGTAAAATAATTAAATAGGTATTATATATTTTTTTTAATAATATTTGTTTAATATTGTACCAATTTTCCCGGTTTATTACATATACTTAGAAAACTCTTGGGAAAATCGAATGATGACCACCTTAAAGTACGTTTTTAGTAGGATTTCTTTTCAGAAAAAGCGCTACTATTGTAAATCGGAGCAAAATTGCTGCTATAAAATTTGTCCGCAGGATATTTAAATTCGTAAATCACATTTATTACGTTTCGTTTAAATTGTTCCGTTTTTTTCGGTTTTTCGCATTTGACGAAAAAACTCTTGAGAAAATCGAAAAAATACGTTTCCCAAAGTACCTTGCTGGGCCTTCCGAATGAGGCGCTACACTTAGATATCCGAGTAAGTATTCCGGTAGAAAAGTTGCGCACAGGTAAAACGGAAAAAAAAAACAACGCCTTTGTAAGACCATAAGCTTATTCGCTCGAGAATCTAAAAAAAACGTATTCACAATACGGTCAAACTAATAACGCGTAAAGTTTGACCATAATCTCACCGACCGAAACCAATCGGGCAAAACGAATAATCGACACGCCGTGAAACGCGTCACGGCGATCACCGACGCGTCGCGTCGCACGCGAAACCCGTCCGAATGAATAGGTACCCGGTACGGGGGGGGAGGGGGGGGGGTTATCGATTCGCGGCGGCGTGGAGGGATGTCCATCGCAGCGGCTGCCCCGCGGCCAAATAGGGCAGTCGGACGGGCGGGTGTTGGACGGAGTTAGATAATTACGTTAACCGGATTGGTCCGCGGGTTCGAGTGTCCGGGACCCAGCGGCGCCCGTCTCCAGTGGTCCCGGTCCCGATCCCGTCCGCGTACGTTATTCGCCGGTGTTTCGCCGGTTTTTTCTCGAAAACCCGTTTCGCAGGGAAACACCTCCGCGCCGCCGGTCGATACCGCCGGGTGGTACCGCGGACACCCGCTTGCCGTTGCGCGACGAGAGATTCGTATACGTACTTGCAGTGGATTCGTTGCCGCGACGGTCCCGCGACGGGCATCGGTCGTTGTGGTGGTATCGTGCGCCCGCGCGACGCCTTATACAATAACTGTTATCCGTCGGCCGTGGCAATACGCGGACGGACAACGGTTGTTTGTTATTTCTGACGAAAAAAAAAAAAAAATAATAATAAAAAAAATAATAATACAAAAATATAACCGACGGGAAACGGGCTGGGCGGGCTCGCCGGGCGGGCTCGTGGACGGCGCGCAAAAGTCAAACTGACGGACCGACACTCGGATCGCGCGTACGGATCGGAACGCCGCCGGTTCGCGCCGGGCCTGCGCGTCGCGTCGCGCGCGCGTTTACTACGCGCGCGACGCGTTTATAAATAATTCGTTACGATATCCCGTGGCGAACGCACACGCGCGCGTCCGCACCCGCGTTTAATTTTAATCCGTTTCGGGTTCGGTAACCGGACGGGGAAACCGTACGGACACCACACAACTCGGCGTGTGAGACGACGGCACGACACGGCTATACATACACACGCATAATAATAATGATTATGATATATTTGTTTTTTTTTTTTTATACGCGTCCAGGAGACACCGAGTCACAGCCACCGCACGGTCTTTTCGCGGAATCGTTAAAAAACGAAAAAAAAATTAATATTATTTCTGGACGTGTTTCGGATTTGATCGTCTCGCCCGGCGCGATTCGGTGACCGCGTCGTCGGCGGAGCGTATGCAACACGTGTAGGACAGAGTCGCTGCCGGTACCGAAAGGGAACGGTTTCGATTGTTCGCACGGTCATCGAATTACACAACGGAATTAACCCTTACTATTCGGACTTTTTCAAATTATTCTGACCATTCGGTTTGTACGGTTTTTTAGTCATTGACGGCCGTTTGAAATTGCCGTGTTTTTTTTTTATTTAGTTTTGTGGCGGATAAAGTTTTATCGACTCCTCGATTAAGTATTTAACGTTAACTGGGGGGAGGGGGCGCCTTGGGGGATCGCGAGTGGTGTCCACGGCGCTATGACTACAGGAGTGTCATTGCAAATTTATAAGGTTCTGTAATTGTTTTTTTTTTTTTTTTTTTAACAATAAACATACGAGTGAACGCCCGACGGACAGGCTAAGCTCTTTTCTTTTTTCTCTTTGTATATTTTTCTGTTACCGAGTGCCGATTTTACTAGGCACTGCACTGAGGCTATTGCGACCGTTTCGAACGTTTTCGATTAATCTGACTAATATTTCGTGAACCCAACACGGAATAACTGATTTATCGTAGTGTATACAATATATATATATATATATATATTATTTTTTAAACGTACGAAAAAAAGTTCAAAATGTAAAGTATCACTTTTGGGAGGTATGTCGTTCGCACCAAATCTAAAATATCTGAAGTGTGCTATAAAATTCGAGTTTGAAAAATGTCAATTGTAATTTACGTCAAATCGAAGTAGTGTCGTTTTATACATTCTCAGCAATAATACAGCCATACTATAAAAATCCAAAATTGATTTTGGTATTGAACAATAAAACAATAAAACGCTCAGAGTATATCGTGGAGCAGCAGTACCTATTGTTCGAATTTCCCGGTTTTAGATGTCCCGCGAGATTAGCTCATCATGCGTTAAAATATCTCGATCTGCAGATATTTTCGTCATCGTTTCCCAACTCTGTTTAAAAACGTTAAAAAAAAATGCCTCTTTCAACATTGTTAAGCACGTACCCGGTAAGACGACGACCTCCACGGCAGCGATTACTATCGTTCTCGCGGAATCGTTTTCTAGACGTTTTATTTCTGGACGTTGACGACATTACGCGCACAATTTTTCACCGTCCGATTATTATCGTACACGACTTTCGCCGACTCAATAAAAAACATTCGAACATAACGAATTTTAGCAATATAGTAATTTTTTCAGATTCTTTTTTAAATTTCATGTGACATTAATGCATGATATAAGTGAAACATAATAGGGAGGGGGTAAATAATTTACAATAATACCAAATTTAAAATTAAAATTTGTCTGTGAATTAAAACCAGTATCGTGCTCTATCCAGAATTCAGTGGTGATCAACAACGAACCGCGGGCTTAATCCGGCCCAGCGAAGTCATCTCTAATCTAGATAATTTTATCTGGATATGTTATCTACATAACATTTTTTATCTTTTTATCTTATCTAGATAAATAAAATAATTTTTCTTGATTTGTTTGGTTAACTGTTAATATTTTAATATCAATGATCTTCTTTCTTCGATCTATTCGTTTGTAAATAAATAATTTCAATTTATTGTGCTGCCTTAATGGCCTGTGTCCTGTATCAAATTTCCTATGTGGGTTACAAAAGAAACAAATTTTTTATTATTTTTTCTTACTTTTATTAGTGTACTACATATTTTGACATGATTTAAACATACATGTGTACAAAGTATTTAATACTATTATTGTCTTTACTCTATATTACTCTATGTCTTTGAATAAGTATATTCTGTTTACCTAATAAAATTTTTTTAGACTTTTTAACCACACTAAACAACACAACATTCCGTATACTCTGTATAAAAAACTTTAATAATCTACAAACTAGCATTTAGACATTTTTCTGTTCAACTCACTTCTCACAGTAGTATTAAATTAAAAGTATTAAATGTTTTTATATGTTTTGACTGTTGTACATTACATACAATACACATTTTAGAAAAACCATAGGACTTTTTCTTCAGATTGATTGTTTTAAACTGCTATTATGCGGTAGCCGTCTAGTTTTCCGAGTTTTACGCTGAGTATATTAGGCGAGAGTGCAGTGATAGATATTCAACCGGCGAGCGTTCCGAACGAACAATATGACAATTCATCATTATGTAGGTATACTCGTTGCCGTCCAAAAACCGTAATAATTATAAAACGCCACGGACCCAAAAATGTCGGTGAAAGTCGAACTTATTGTTTTTGATATAGGCACTCGTGTATATTATCATTTTATAGTGACTTACTGCGCAATGACGACGGAGACCCGACGAGAATCGCGAGGGTTTTAAACGCCGGAACCGCGTGCTCGGTGATTTGTTACGGAAATTATTTAGGACGGTAAACGGCGATGACGTATTCGCTCGCGCGATGACGTTTCCATTCACTTTCGCACCTGTCCCTCCCCACCCCCTCCCCTTCCACACACACACACACACACACACATATACCCCTTCGCGTGGCTAAATTAATCTCTCGTGTGCACGGGCTTAACGAAAATATAGGTACCTACATGCCACGGTTCACGACCTAATGTATCTGAACGCATATTTTGATATATCAATTGTAAAGACGAACGGGGAGAAAAAATAAAACCGAGTGAGTTACATGATATTATTATTGTGAATAAATAACCGGATTTACTGTAATTTTTTAAAAAAACAATTTTTTTCACCTAGAGGAATATTGTTTCTAACCATACGGCCGATTCACCGTGTTCGTTGGACGGCAATCATGCATCACTTTGTTGGTCTAAAGATGTTTATTTTTCGCGAAGAGTTAAATTTAAACAAAAAATAATACCAGACCAATAATCGGTCTATGTATTTGTATTGTTTGCTCACACGTTAAGCGTGGTTCGATGCGCCACAAAACGCTAGTTTTCTTTTCTGTCTGGATTCGGAGTTTTTCGTTATTCATAAATATAGACAAACCAAAGAAAAATGAACAGAAGTAACATTGAACAAATTATCAATCTTTTTTGGCATTTGACGTTTGAAACAATTGGATTAGCACTTTAAGACGACGGTATATCTAACGACACGAAAAGTAAAATGGTTTAAACGTTTAAAATTTCATGTTAATGCGATTATTATTGGAAATTCAAAAGTAAAACATTTAAATTTAAAAGTCTGTGAAGTACCAAATATTTTAAGTAAAAATATAGATGAATTAAAGGTGTCAGACCAAGAATTGTTTTTAAATAATTTAGTGTTATCGATTCATCGCGTACTTTATGGCAAAAATGTATATGAAATAGTCCGCAATTAAAGTCGTAAATGACACTATGAAACGAGCTGCCAAATTAATAAAACATTTTAATCGAATAGGCTCAATAAATAAAAAAACAAAAACAGTATACACTTTAAGTTGTGGCACAGCACCGGAAACGATATTTAAATAGCAATAAAAGCACTGTATTGAAATGATTTTACCACTCGTTTGCACTTTTTTTTTCCACTTCGTAAAACTTAGTACTTATAATAAATCTTGTTTTAAATTTTCAAGGACTTCTGTTTGGTTAAACAATTTTATACTCATAATACCTACCAAATAAAAATTTAAAATTGCCCATAAATAGCTCAAAAATCACAGAATGTTTTGAACGTTTCAATATGTCTAGAAAATGCCTTTATGTTTATTGCTAAAATGTCAAGTCTCCACTAATAGTTTTAAATGAGTTACAACAAAAAAAACAAAATTGAAAACAATGAAACCTGTTATTTCCATAAACGTTCCAGAACTTTCTAAGTTTTTTTTAGTTTTGATAAATTTTTAAGAACACTTAACCTACAGTTTTTTTTCCGATTTTTTCCCAATTATTATGAAAACCCATTGAAAAATCCAATCATGACCTTCTGAATAATCAATTAAATACAAAATATAACAAAAATGTCGTTTGTCATTTTTGTGATTGTAGCAAGATTTCTGGTAAAAAAGTTGATCACAGTTATACACAAAAATAAAAAACATACACATCCTAGAAACACCAATAGATCCCTCGATACATTCAGAATGATATTATGAAGAATCTAGTTTTGAACTTTCAGGGTTTTGGGACACAAGGTTAACTTAAACGATAAACTTAAACTTTTGTTTACTTAATCGTGTGTGTATATGCAACTTATCGACCGAAAAAATTAATCAGTATTGAAATACAAGGACTATTCCAATATACAGAATAATTTTAACATATTTTCCCGCGAATTTCTCAGAGTTTTTTTAATTACATTTTATTTTTGCTCTTTGTTTTTTATTCATCGTTACATGGAATTATTTCGGTTTTATTTTAAGGCTTTAAATTTTTAAATTTATACCCCTATTCTTTAAAAGTTTACAACTTAAAATTTAAATAAATTTTAACTTTTTTTTTCAAATGATAATCCCGCCCAATTATTTTACCACTGGTTGTTTGAAAGTAGAAGGTTTTTAAAAATTTAGATTTCCATAAAACTGTTATATTGGATTTACCGTTTCTGTATGATAATATCACCTAGTTTCCAAATTAAGACCAGAGGAATAGGCAAGGTTAATCTATTTCATAGTGTCAATTTTTAAACAATGATAACTTTTCTTTCTACTCTTCCGGTTAAACTGTTAGATAATGATCAGTCCAACACTAGTTTTATTTTCATCAACATTGTTTCTAAGGGAGTGAAAATCAAAATTTGATATGTATTCTCATACATGAGATGAGGATAGCATATTTTGACAATGTAATCATAAAACTTTTTAATGGCCGAAAAACAAAAAATGTTATTCAAAATATTGTCGTAAACAATATCGCTGGATCATGACAAAAATATCACTCTGTATATAATTATATAGCTGAAAAGTGATTAATCTTAGACACGCGAAACGACACCAAAAAATGACGCGTCTGTACTGGTGGCGCTGCTGATGGCGAAGACGTGGTCAGTTCTGAAGAAATTTATTTTGTCTTATGATTAATTTCTGCCGCCGTTGGGTCGGATGTGCGCCAAATAAAAATAATTACTCGGTTTTTTTTTTTTTAAGTCAAGACGTTAAGACGTTGCCCCCTAATGAGCATTTAAAGTTTTGTAATTAGAACGAATTTGATTGCTTAATATTTATTATTAAAACGCTCGCGTGAGTGTTATAAATTAAACTTTTTTTTTTTTTTATTTTCTTTAATCGTCCGTTAATTCCCGTCCGAAATCGTTATATAAACAACTACTGTCGTTTAGTCATTCTAATTATATTATTAAAGCGTGTAGTTTGCTTCAATATTATTAATTAGACATAATATTTTAGCAAAACGAACTACACGTATATTCATACTATAGATAAACGTTTAGCATATTTTAAAAATGCTGTAAAAAAAAAAAAAAAAAAAACGGAAACTTCACAATAGTAACTTAATAACTCTCTTTAAACGAAAACCTATATAAATGTAATTATAGTGTAATTATAGATTATTTAAGACTAAAATAAATCAATAATTTTACACATTTTGGAAGCAAGATCACAAGCAACGGATGAAGCATGACGGACAGAGGACAGTAGAATAGCGCAGCAAAACAGAATTTTCATAAAAAGTATGCCATGTAGTAATATAATATTGGTATCACGATAAAAAACCTCTTCACCGTAAAGGCAATAAGTTTATAAATATCGAGAGGATTCTTATCAAAATCTCGGTGTGGAACGTGAAGATACTGTTTGGAGCTAAAATGTGGATAGCTGTTTTTTAAAGACCAAGAAAGCAAAAATTGAAACATTTTTAAGGTAAAAAGGTTTCAATATTTATTATGTGGTATTGAAAAAGAGCATTAAGAATCACACCGACACTTGTGAATAGAAATGAGAGAGTTTTATGTCGGATAGATACGAGAATTTCAATATCGAGAAACGATAAAGAGTTAAATAGGATTTTTAATGAGGAGTAGCGTTTGGATAAAGAAAATAACCAAAGGACGAACAAGATAGAAATACAGGAAAAGGAAGGCTATGGCCTCCGTACATGAAGCGATAGAGAACACCGTAATAAATGTATAATATGAAGAACTTAAAATAATTATACGATATTGATAGATGAAGAGAAACATCAATAATTTGATCGATCAAGTTTGAAAAAAATGGAAGGAATGTACATTTTATTTTCAGAGGTTAATATCAAATAGTTTCACGGTATTGGCTGCTGCAGGTATATTTTTTAAATTAAAACGCCAGCGTATACAATTTAAGTACCGCGTACGTGACGTAGCTGAGAATACAGTTTTTCCGAATCGTGTTTAATTTTGGTCTATTGACGTACAATCAACTGCAACGTGTCCGGGTATGAGCTGTGAGTATAGTAAATTATAATAATATATTACATAATGTATTCTGTCTACTGCCTAAATTCGAAACCGACCAGCCGATCAAAGCCTTTGTTATAAATCGACACTAATTCAGCTGTAGCTTGTCCACGAACCGCAAACACGGTGACCCCGTGATAAAACAAGTCGCGTGTCCCCCCGAGTGCTGTGATCGCGGAAAATACATTCTCCATGGTCGATTTTTCCTCGTGTTCTTCCTTATAATTATAGAAGAAACGCCAAAACACGGATAACGTCATACAACAGGTCGTAGACGTTTCAAGTCCAAAATTTAAGCGTGAATACACCCGTTTAGGAATTTAAAATCCCGTTTTAAAAATGTTATGAAACTCCCATCTATGTTAAAAATGTCAGATTTATGTTCAGGTTATAGTTACTATAATTTCGCTTGTACTGCAATACTGTGTATATGGCCGCCCGGAGAGAGGGCAAGACGGAGAATCTGCCACCCTCGGCTATAAAATTTCAAATATAATTTTGTTATAATTAATTTGTTATTTGATTTTATTACGCCCCTCTCTATGTTGGCCTTGACTGCGTATCTCAGTTATTGTGATTTTACGAGACGATCAAAAATATTTTGGCAAATAAAATGTATAAGTTTATCTTTTATCATTTTCGTGATGAACATTCTGCTGTAGAATAAACGAAAATATATACAGTGTAAAAGAAACATTTATTAACGATGATTCATTATGTTTGTATAATTTTTTGAAGTTAAAACAAAATTGTTAACAAAATTATTTTTAACGGAAATATAATTGATGAATCGATTGATATTATTATTTAGTAATGGCAATGAAAACAATTTAAATTAACTCGAATTTCATAAAATTGCAAAAAATTAACGCCAACATTTCGCTTCAAAATGTCTTTATACAATTTTTTTATAAAACGCTCTTAAATTTTTTTAAAATATATGAATTGTTTTTATTTAATTGTAAAAATATGAAACATATGAAATAGAAAAATCATAGCACATCGCTCTAGTATTTTTAACGTGAAAAAGAAAATTTAAAAAATTGAACAAAAGTTCTTTCAGGTATCAGAACATTGTGTTACAGCCTGTTTAAGTTTAGTTACCTAGGAATTTATATAAGAAAAAAAAAACATTAATTATCATACGAATAGTACACCAACTAGATAAAAATTATTTGTTACCGACAACGATTTTGTGTTGATTATTGGATCCGAATTTCTCTGGTCAAAAACTTGTTTACAAATTTTCATACGGGATTCATATTTTTCGTGAATTCGACCTTAGACCGTATTGTCCAGTGTATTTATCTTTAGATTTTTCTATCACATGATAGTTCCTTCCAGTCTTTTCCAGACATTATTTTTTTTATATTCTCCTTTACCCTGACTTTTCATTTTAGTCTTGGGTGTCCCAGTGGTATTTTCTCTTTCGTGGAATTTTTTAGTACCGTTTTCAATAGTGATTCTTCCATTCGCCATACGTGCCCCGACCAGACGAGTTGTCTTTTGGTATCCTCCACAATAGATTTTGAATTTGAGACAATTCTTTTAACTCTCAGATTTTCGGGATTCTCCATTCACCGGCATTTACATCTTTACATGGGCAATTCTGATAACTTTTTTTTTTTTTCAAATAATTAGTGAATTCTTTTCAGTCCTCCGTAGTGTCCGAGTTTTCTAAATTACTACTGGTTTTATTAACATTCAGTTCTTCTAATTGGTTGAGAGTATTCTGGTTCGCAGTAACTTTATCACACCGAAGTAACGTTTATTATTGACCTGAATCCTCGCTTTTACCTTGACCTTTACTTGTTTTGTTAACGTAGCACCTAGGCATTTTATTTAAAATACATATATTATATAATGATATTTTCTTTATTTTCGACCGGACGCGTGTACGAAACGTATGTAGTGCATACAATATTTTTCTAAATTCGTGTGTGCGTGCGCAGTATATCGATTGTGCATATATGTATACGCAAACTTGTGTGAAACTGTGTTTTTACGAGTGCTAAGTAGATTTTGTTTATAGATGCGCGGGTCGGGTGTGTACTTCTGTACGAGACACGTTGACGTGCATGTAAAACAGACGTGCGTCGGCGAAAAAAGTCATAAAATTTAATATATAGTGTGTGTGTGCAATGTTTTTATAATACATAGGTGTATATATATATATACGTAATATAACAAAACTAAACAGTGATTTTATGATAATCAAAGGCTTCGATGATATAATAATGAACAGATTTTGATTTTTTTTTCAACCATAAAACATTTAATGCCGCGAGTTTACGTGGAAGTTTATTGCGTTTTAGGCACATATGGACGAGGAGTTAGTAAACAAAATATCATTAGTGCAAAATAGTTTGAAACAGCCCCCATTACGGCCTCCAATAGTGATTTGGACCAAACGCGTTGTACGCGTTATCAAATAATTATTCGCAGTCTTATTATCCAATTATCGTGAAAAAAAACTCCTATGTATTGGAGCGCTGCAGCAGATACTTTGAACTTCGCGTAGGAAAAATGTCGATTTCTACAGATTTCCATTGGTTGAATGGAAAAATAAAAACAGGAGAGGACATATTTTTTATGAGACAACATTTATTTTTATCTTTCCCTATAGGCTGGTAATTCTCCGGTCTAAATTTTAAACAGTTTTTATAATTCATTGTGCACACGGATATACCATGCATATCAAGATTTTCAGAAAAAAAAAAATGTTATCTTTTGAAACATTAATTTGAAAATAGAAATTTGAATTATGTTGTTTGGAAATCTAATATGATAACTATGAGCTATATTTTGTATGTCTACGGGTATCTATACGAAACAAAGGTACATTTTTAAAACTATCGTAAATACAATAGCGCCGGTTAAGGATAAAATGTATTTAGTGTTATGTTTTATCCAGATTAATATTTTATCTTACCTAGATCAATGCAAAATAAGTTATCTTAGACAACGTTAAATCATAATATTTATATATTTATTAGAAATAGTTGGTAAAATATTTCATTAGGTACATTAATATGGTTTAATATTACCAAATTATCTATATTTTAAATAACAATCTCAAAATACAATCTAAATACGCGTAGAAAATCTGGTACATTTTACCGTAGTAAACGTATTTAGTATCTAGTTTTATGACAAGTAAAGAACGAAATTATCATTTTTTTTTTTTTCATCTAGATAAAAAGTTCCCGGTTATTTATCTTTATCTAGATAATTATATTCCGGCTATTATCTTTTGCATTTATACAGATATTTTTTTTAATTTATCTGTTCAGAACACGACTACGACGTCGTATTGTTATTATATTTCATTACAGTCGTGGTTTACTCGCGACATCCGCGACGCGACGACACTCCGAAAATACTGCGAGAGATAATAATATAGTTTATCGTATATTGTCTAGAAAACGACGACGACGACGGAGGGAACACATTTGACGGCTCGTGACCAGAATAAACTCGTTACAGCAGTCAGTTGTTGTTGTAGTAGTAGTAGTAGTAGTAGAAGTAGTAGTAGTCGCGGTAGTAGTAGTAGTGGTAGTAGAAGTAGTAGTAGTAGTAGTAGTAGTGGTAGTATTAGGGAAGAAGTCAGTATATAGTAGTGGCATAGTAGTAGTAGTAAGTATAGTAATAGAGTTACAAAAGTTGTCGCTTAAAGAGAATGTTCGTGCGAGGGAATCTGCGAACACAGTGAACTTATTATCTACCGAATAATCGTTAAACAGGTACCTACCTACCTTATACCTAACCTACCTACGCGCGCGCACACAAAATATATTATACGCGTTTATAAGTGAATTATCTTCACGGTACAAACTCTCGTATAACAATATACTAACAAACTCTAAACGCGTAATCGGATTGTCGTTGCTGTTGATTTTACGGTATATACTCACGTACCAGCTATCCACCTATATGTATCGTATATTTATCGTTATTATTAATAATACACGCCTACCGACTTTAATCAAAAACAATATCGAAGAGAATAGTAATGTGCCGGCTACGTTTTTATATTGATTTTCTATCCGCCGACCGTCAGCGGCGGTATTCGAGATTTTCTTCCGGGGCGTAGGATGTGAAGGAGATGACCCCGCACAAACGATTCGGAAAACCTTATTTTTATTTATTTACTCGATGATTTGGTTAACGCAGAAACGGCATAACATTAATGCGTACGGGAACCTCTGTTCCGGGAGGGTTATCGTCATTAGCGTGTAACGACTAATGTTAGACGAATGGCAAGTGACCCGAGTAGGCTCATTCTGCATAAAGTTTGTGGTGCGACGCTCATCTGGGATATAGCGGATATGCCTCGGGTGTTCTGTACAACTTCCATAACCGGTCGAACATGTATATCTGTACCCGAGGTCCTCCGAATGGGGGCACATTTTTAACTTGACACATTGCGGGCAGTGTATTTATTTATAGGTATCTTATCTGTAATGTTTATGGACAATAGCTAGGCCAGGAGTTTCGGTACCTAATTTAATATATCAATAAATTATGCAGACGACGGTAACGTTGATAACATTATTACAACGTGACGCGATATCGTGAATTACTTACCCGCGTAGCTGCGAATGAAGGAAATCGCACGAAGTCGAATATAGACGCAAACAGCCCGATGGATTTTAATAGGGCTTGACGTCCGCGACATCCACGAGTCAATGGAATAGAGCCTTCCATCACGCGCAAGA